CTCCTCAGAAACAAAACTGTCACCACTCCCTTTGTGTCCTCCCACGGAATTTTCTATGCAAATACAAACCCATGTGTACATATATAGGACCACATCCGTTTTGCTATCAGAAATATCCGCAGGTTTTTGCCGCAACCGAGACTTTCTGTCTGCACACACATCTGCATTCCTTTTCTTCAATAATGGGTCCGCATTCCATTATAAATTCACACCATCCCCATTTGCTGGTCACCCAAAGCCTCTGAGGTCGGTGGGTACTACATTTCCCTAGCTTCCCGTGCCCAATGCAAAATCACACTCAGTTTTCTTGGTCTCTGCAGAATTATGATTTCGACCTTATCCCCAGGGAGGGCAGAGAAACCAACAATTGTCCCCTGGGGTTCATCTGCCAAGTGATAGCTGGTTCCCCGATAAAGAATTTCAGGTCCCACCCCAGCTGGCTGCATGGTCAGGCTCAGTACCACTTTCAAGGGATTTCAACCACCACTGAAGTATCTGTCTGGGGACCCCTGCTTTCTACAGAATTACGGAAAGTTTCCCTGGGTGTTGGCTCTCAGAAAAGCCTTTTGCAAAAAGCACCAAACCCTGGCCGCAGGCTCCTGCAGCCCCTCCCAGGTCAGCCCACATGGCCACGGTCTTGTCAAGAGACCTTAGTGAGCAAGGCCCAGCTTCTTCTGAGATTCTAGTTATTCTAAAAGAACCCCTGAAGGGTCTAGGGTCTTGGAGCCCATCAGAAATGTGGGGTTGTCCCGTAGCCTCCATAGCCTGACCATGATCCTACCCTGTCCATTCATCCCCCAACCCCAGAGGTTGGCTTTACTTACCATAAGGACTCGCCACTGGAGCCCCGAGGGGCGCGTTCACACTGACCATGACCAAGAGTATCCAGCTGGACACTGCGGGGCATGGAGGAGCTGGAGCCCACACACCGCAGCAGAGGGGCTACCAGGAGCCGGTCCACCAGGAAGGCAGTGAGCACAGCCAGCTGCCACCGCCCGGTTATCTTATTGATTCTTCTAATCACCCAAGGTGGGTGGATACGTTAAAGAGTAACCAGTCACTTAGGGAACCTGTGGCTGGGGATTGTCGCTTTTGCCATGGCAACGGCAACCTGGCTAGACCTGAGGTCCACTCAGGCCCCAGTCCTGGACTCTGGGGTTAGAAGAACCTGAAGCCAGATGTTGGAAGCATCAGCCTTGCAACTTGGGAGAAGGGGTTGAGCGGGGCCTGGGGAGTTGAGTCTGTGATGGGTGGAGTTTTATGGCTCTGGACTATGGGTGGTGACGAGTGCATGAAAACGAGGGGAAGTGGAGGGAGGGGTAGATGGGGGAGGAGGGTGGAGAATTACATTTATTGCACACCAGACTGGATGCTGGGAGTTGAACATAGGCATTGCTAGGATTAATTAAACCTTGAGATAAAGGAGTTTGAGGGGGCTAGAGAGATAACTCAGTGGTTCAGATCACCGGCTGCTCTTCCTGAGGGTCTCGGAATGTATTCCCAGCACCCTCATGGCAGCTCACAGTTATCTGTAACTACAGTTCAGGAAACCCAATGCCCTTTTCTGGTCTCTACAGGCACCGGCACGCATGTGGTATACAGACATACATGCAGGCAAAACACCCATACACATAAATTAAACCTAAAAGTAAATAAATAAAGGACAGTGAGGCTTGCCTCAAGAAGTTGCTTGCCTGGAGTCTCACACTGGGTGCAGAGAAGATCTGGGGTCACAGCTCTGGTCCGCCACTCACCTCACAGGTCAACTGAGTACCTACATGAGCGGTGTTCTGTGTTAAACAGTGATGTAAAAATGGGTCAAGCAGACATCACCTTCTCAATATGGAATTTGTGGAGTAAAGGAAGAGATGAACCTTAATCACATCATAGTCAAAGGTAGGTGCTGTCTGGGATGGACCAGCTGGTGTACAGCCTTCTGCTGGCCTCCGGCCCCATTCCACAGGCAACCCGCTGTGGAAGTCTGCAGTCTGGTCTGAGACCTCTCGCACATGACAACCCACCACCTGGTTTTTTTTTTTTTTTTTTTTTGCTGACACCCCATATCATTTGGCTCAGTGTTGGAGCTCCCAGCCTGCCTTGGGATTCTCTGGTCTAGATCATCTCATGTTAAAACACTTATCAAATGACAAATTTGAAACTCAGAGGAATGAGCGATCCCAGCTCCACCATTTTCTTGGTGATTCTTTGTGCTAAGTTCTGTTTCCTTACGGTAATTTCTCCATGGTGGGTTGCCACACCTCCCAAACCAGCTAGCTGATTAATCCTTCCTCAGCCTCTTCTTCTAGGGCACTTCTCCAGCCATTTCCAAGAAACCACTACCTACTTGTCACTGCCGGGCACTGCTCATCTCTGTTCTCAGCCTCCGGAGTTCTCCCCCCTAGACCGGCACCTTCCTGCCTTCATTTCAGTTCTCATCCGGGTTAAATCTCTAAGATTACTGTTACTTTAGCCGCTCTGCTTCCTTCCCAGTCCCTTCCCCGAGGAAGCTTGAAGCCAGGAAGGACTTGAGTATCTTGCTTTCTTCCTGTCTACACTGAGCCAACCACTCATGCTGGAACAAAACAAAAACCCCCGAGAAAGTCGCAGACCTAGAATTTGCTGTGAGGACCAGGCTGGCCTTGAACTTACCGAGCTCGGCCTGTTTCTGTCTCCAGGGATGGAATTTAATATTTAATATTCCTCTTTAGTACTCCCTGATGGAGCCCTAAAACTGCTTTTCATGGTTTGTCCCCTGCCTACTTCCCTAACATGGGCCATCACACAGACATGCGCGTGCACACACGCTCACGCGTGTGAGGTGTTCTTTCAAGCCTTGTCAGTGCCAGGCACCCTCTCCTCTAGCTCACAGCCCTCGTGTTTCTGGGGCACAACCATCCCTTCATAAAAGGAGAGAGAGGCCAGAGAGATGGATCCGTGGTTAAGGGCACCCATGCCACAGAGGACCCAGGTTTGGCTCCAGCACATGGCAGCTCACAGCTGTCTGATAACTCTAGTTCCTGGGGACCTGACACTCTCTTGTAGGCACCAGGCTCACAGTTATGCATATATCTATATACATGTGTGCAGTCAAAACACTCATATACATCAGATAAAAATAAATTAATTAAAATGAAAACTCCCGTTGTCATGGATAATGGGGGAATGTATTCACATCTGTGAATGGGATATATAGGAAATCTTGAAACTTCTCTGTAGCCCAGGGTGACCCTGAGCTAATTCTCCCACCTACTTCTCCTGTGTGCTAGGATTACAGGATGGGGATTTATCTGATACGAGGGATGGATCCTTGGGCTTCCTGCTTTCCAGGGAAGCACTCCCCTAGCTGAGCTATCTCCCCAGCACAAGGCTTTTATCTGGAATAATAAACTTGCAGCTGTATCCTTGGCCTTCTTTTACTCACTTCCAGCATTTGGAAACCGTCACACTTTCTCTTCTGCCAAGCAGAGTAATAAAACCCACACCTGTGCTGCTGCGGAGTGCCCACCCCCTCCCTGCTTCTGGCAGAGCCCCGCTACCCTCAACCACTCTCTCCCAACCCCATTTTCTTCACTAGTTTTCTCACCCCTGGAAGTGAAAGGGGATTCACTAAGAGCCACTGCCCGAGACCATAGGGCTGTATTGGTCCTGGAAAGGGATAAGAATGACACGTGCCAGTCAAGGCCTGGTGGAGACGATCAGGGAGAAGACTCAGTTGTTACAGGATTCCACAGAGGCTCTGAGTGAAGGGGTGGATTTTCTGTTCAGTCTGAGCTCTTTCTTTGAATGGAGCCCTCTCTAGTTCACAGGGAGTGGGCCCCACAGCAAGAGGGCAAGGTCTGAAGGAGGAAATTTTACTATCTCTACAGACAAAAGGACTTTTGTGTTTTATGATCTCTGGGTGAGATGGGGTGGGGAGAGGGGAAATGGTTTATTGGAATGAAAATGACATTGCAAGGGAGAGAACCGGTCTGTAGAGCCTAAGAAGGAACAGTACACCGTGCAGTGATGGGCAGAGGGAGACAGAGCAGGGCAGAGGGAGACAGAGCAGGGCAGAGGGAGACAGAGCAGGGCAGAGGGAGACAGAGCAGGGCAGAGGGAGACAGAGCAGGGCAGAGGGAGACAGAGCAGGGCAGAGGGAGACAGAGCAGGGCAGAGGGAGACAGCGGGGCAGACAGAGTGCTACAGAGAAAATTTCAGAGGCAGAAATTGTTCCTTGGCCAACTTGGGGTTGTGTCGTTTCGTTGGAGAGGTTCCAGGAAGGTCAAAAAAGTATGAATTCAAACTCAATTATGTATGAGACAAGGCTGGACCCTATGGTCATTCTAGAAAGTGTACCAAGGGGGGGGGGATATGATATGCGCAAACAAACAAACAAAAATGGTTAGGACCTGAAATTTGCCCAACCTAGGAGGAAATCATCAGTCCCGGAAGGCTGGCAGAAAGGCTGGATTTAGATGGCTGGAGGCAAGACTTAGGTTAAAGCTGTTTCATTGTTGTCATTTTCGGTTGTTATCCTTAACTTGCTGTGTAGCTGAGGGTGGCCTTCAGCATCTAATCCTCTTGACTCCAGTTCCTGAATGCTGGGATCATAGGTGCACACCACCATGCCAGGGTTGTGCAGTGCCAGGACCCGTGCTTGCTGGGCAAGCAAGTATCATTGAGCTACAGCCCCAGGTTGAGAATGTTTGACAAAAGCCTTTCGCTAGGTGGACAGTCTTGGGTTAGAAGCTTCAGAGTCACAGACGAAGCTTCCTATTTTGTTCCCAGTAGCCCTTGCTCCAGAGAATCAGGCAAATAAAAAAGGCAGGTCTTGCTGGGCATAGTGGTATAAATCTAATCCCAGCACTCTTAGAGGCAAAAGCAGACAGATCTCTGAGTTCAAGGCCAGCCTGGTCTATAGAGTGAGTTTCAGAACAGCCAGGTCTACACAGAGAAACCCTGTCTTGAAAAACAAAAACAAAACAAAACCAAAAAGAAAAAAGAAAGCATTTTTCCCTAGATATTATAGAAAAGAAAGACTTTACTAAGGAAGGGAGAGGAGATACCTTTGGCATGTACTGGACATTTAAGAAAAGGAGTTTATAAAGAACTGTAGGGTTGCCCAACCCCTGTCTCCCTCTCAACTTTGGGGGGTGGACAGGCCCAACTAGGGACACCAAAACATTGGGTTAGTTTAGATCCATGGGAGCCTGTTGGATTTGAGTCCAGAGAAGCACATGTTGCTTTTGCAGTTGCCTTGGTAACTGGCGGGACAGGCAGAACATGGCTTCCCAGTCTTGTAGGGCGCCTCCCCAATCCAGTTGCCCCTACAAAAGAACAGGCCCAGGGGAAACAACATTAGGGAACGTTTAGGTGAAATAGCCTTCACAGATTTCCACATTTCCACCCTGGGGTCCACTGCGCATGGGACCTCGAACATGGCACTTCTGTAAGCCCTGGTTTCTTTCTCTGCAAACCCAGCAGATCTCTCCTCCATAGGGATGCAGAGATCAGCACAAATACAACCTGTGCATATGAGCACAGCATCACTATCCTTGGAAAATACTGACATCCTATAAGGGTTGGCTTTCTCGCCTTCTCCCAGTCTCCCTGGAGGGGGCAGATTTGGGCTCTGGTCCTGAGTTCTCATCCTGGTGACAGACTGAGCCACTTCGTTTCTTGGAAACTGATATTATTCTCTGAATAAGATAAATGAAACAGTGTCCATGAAAATGATGTGAAATGGTCCATGGAAAAAAAAACCCTTTGCTATATGTATATTGTGCAAATGGGAGCTTGAGTAATTAGCTGATGAGGATAACGAGGCATGAGTGGCCCCTCGCGGAGCCTCATTAAGGCCATGACCCTCCGTGTCTTCAAGGCTTCACCCTTAATCTAGGTACTCAGCTGTAGAATTACCCTCTCAAAAGACCTCTACCTTTTACCGAAGAGAATAGGGAACTATTGCCTACTGGTTATAGAGATTTCTCTGGGCTGACGGAAAAGGGAAAGTTTAGAAGGGATGGATAAATAGTTGATAGAGAGCTTGCCTAGCATGTACAAAACCCCAGGTTCAGTTTCCAGTACCACAGGTAACAGGTCCATAATTCCAGCACTTGGAGGTGAGGGGATTAGAACAAGATCAACACTTGCTAATTAATGAGGTAAAAGCCAACTGGGGCTACATGTGTCTCAAAAGAAACAACAGAGCCAGCAAGGTGCCTCAGCAGGTCAAGGCAGTTGCCGCCAAGCCCAGTGACCTGAGTTCAATCCCCAGGACCCACATGGTAGAAGGAGAGAATCAACTCGAAGAGGTTTTCCTCTGGCCTCCACATGTGCACTGTGGTGTGTGGATACCACCCCTACAAACATAAATGACTGTAATAGAGATAAATAAAATGGCAATGGTTGCACAATGTTATAGTAATAATTGTCACTGAATTCTTCACTTAAAAAAGACTCAATGGTATCTTTTATGTTATATTTTACTAAAACTTTAAGTATGATTTATTGTGTCTCTGTGACATGAAAACAGCTGTAGAGAAGAGATAAAGGAATTGTAACCCCATGTTTCAATAAAACTTTATTTAAAATGGGCCACAAGCTAGGTTTGGCCATGGGCCATAGCTCTCAGAGTCCTGCCTTACAGAATCTCATCACTAGCTGTGCCCTAGCTAGGAGGCAGGTGGTACGCATCTGTAATCCTAGTACTTGGGAGGCTGAGGCTGGGGATTTATGAGTTTAAGGCCAGTTTGGGCTACGTGGCAAATTTCAGGCCAGCCTGGACCATATAAAGAGACCCTGTCTCAAACAAACAAACAAACAAAAAACAAAACAAAATGACAACAACAAGCAGCAATGAAATAAAACAAATCTTAACAATTCCAGAGTGCCCTTAGCGGCAGGCTTGGTTAGTATACACCTCACTTTCCCCTCACCTGGCTGAGACCCTTCACGGCATTCTCTCTTCCTCCTTGCTCTTGCCGCAGGCTCCCCCCCCCCCCCCATCTTATCTCTGGCCCTGCTGTCTGCTATCAGTTATCTAGAACTCCTAAGGCTTTTATGTGTTGCTTGTTTTGTTTTGTAGCCCAGGCTGGACCTCACTATGCAGCCTAGGTGACCATTTACTACTGACCCTCCTGCCTCCTACTTCATTGTGTTGAGATCACACCAAGCGCCACCAGGCGTGGCAAGTGCTTAGGAAAGGATGTGCTTCTGATTTCATAAGAGGCTTCATCCATGGAGCTCTTCAGAATGTCCGTGGATATTAGGATTAGTGCCAGATATAATAAATTGTATTTTTTTTAAAGATCCTCTTGGGAGCCAGGCATGTGGGGGGAAATATACCTATAATCCCAATAATCAGAAGGTCAAGGCTGAGGACCCAGAAGCTCAATCATCGTCACTGGGAATCTGAAGACAGCCTGTGCTACAAAAGAGCTTGTCTTTTTTTTTTTTAAATAGACCCTCTAGAATGAGGACAGCTGGGGTGGGGAGGTCTGGATGATAGACTCAAAGAAGTTCTTTGTTTTTTTGTTTGTTTAACCACTTGAGGGTAAATTCTGCTTTTTTTAAAAAAAGATAATGGCTAAACTGGGTTGTTCTGTCCTAATCCCAGCTCTGGGGAAACTGAGGCAGAGTCTAATCCCCTGCAGGCTTGAGGCTACTCTCTGCTAAGAAGTGAGTTCCAGGCCAGTCTAGGTAACAGAGTGAAACCTATCTCAAAAAACAAACAAACAAACAACAACAAAAACCAGTTTTCTATTCTCATTTTGAGCTGAAAGTCTGTAATGCTCATTTTTGATACCAGATGGGAACTTATCTTGCCATTTCCCTGTGTTTCCATTAGATTTGTATAAAAATGGCTCCTGGTCTCCTGCCTACCTATGTGCTGCGAGGTGAGTCTGGGAGAGCTGCGCATTCTCTGTTCGTCTTTGCTCTTCTATCCAATCCGCCCTCCCAAGAGCAGGTGCTCTTAGGTGTCTGATTCTTGGGGTGAGCTCAGAGGGCTAGCACTACACCCATTTGCTCAGCGATGCCTGGCATTGGTGTGAAAGGCTGGATTTATGGTGAAGTATTAGCCACTTGGTGGGCAGCTGGGCCAATTCAGGCCACAATCCCCACCCCCTCACCCACCTTTCAGCCCTTTCTCTGTCTGTCCCCTATGCCCACGCCTTGGGCACAGATGAAGGATTATTGGCTTAGGCTGTGGCTAAAAGGTAGCCTACTTGCCTAGCTTGTATAAGACCCAGTTCTGGTGCCACAAAACAAACACACAGACAAAAGGCTTTGTCAATTGAGTCTCTTAAATTGCCCAAACCAGTAGAGCACTGAGCAGGAGGAACCCTGGTGCGGTACTCACTTAATGGCGTAGTTGCAGACCAGGTACACAGCCTGCTGCCAGGTGCTGCCCCATACATGGATGCTGCTGCAGGTGTGAAGGGCGCAGCCCAGCCGGCTGGAAGATGCCCACACCATCTGCGGAAGCACAGAGACAGGTAAGCCGAGGCTTAGAGGAGCCCGAGAACCCTGGGAAACGTGCTCACTAGACCCCACTCCTGTGGAGTACGGACTGGGTGAAGTCTTGGGGCCCAGAGCTGGAGGACGGGAGAAGAGACCATGTCTGCCTATCGTAAGGGGTTGGAGGATGGCTTAAAACATTTATTATGAGCCGGGCGGTGGTGGCGCACGCCTTTAATCCCAGCACTCGGGAGGCAGAGACAGGCAGATCTCTGTGAGTTTGAGGCCAACCTGGTCTACAAGAGCTAGTTCCAGGACAGGCTCCAAAGCTACAGAGAAACCCTGTCTCAAAAAACCAACCCAACCAACCAACCAACCAACCAACCAACCAACCAACCAAACAAACAAAAAAAGCCAAAAACAACAACAACAAAACATTTATTCTGTAATAGAATGTTTTTCAAAAATAACGTTTAACTGAAATCAGCAGTAAGGAATGTGTTTCATATTGCTACATGGAGAAATAGGTGCAGGAGGTACAGAAGTCGGCTGAAAGAAGCAGGGGTTCAGCGCAGTAGTAGAGCTCATGCCTCGTGGTTCTAAGCCCTTGGGTATACCCAGCATGCCAAAGAATGGTATAAAGCAGTATTTATCCATATCGTGCGTGATACGTTATTGTTTTCTATACCCTTTCATTTATTTTTTTCTTTTTAAGATTTTCCTTTTCGTGACAACCTTTGAAAGCCATTGTAGTGTTAGAGGTTAAACTTTGGAATCACACACGCTTGGATCAGCATCTCAACATCACCTGCTGTGTGTGTTTCCCTGAGTCTCTGACCCTCTCTGTGCCTCTGTGCTCTGCTGGGAAGGTGGAGGTAATGATGTCCCATGAGTTTGTTGTTGTTGCTGCTGCTGTTTTGAGACACTCACTATGTTTTGAACCTCACTATGTACCTCTGCGTGACCTAGAAGAACTCGCTCTGTAGACCAGGCTGACCTTAAAGTCACAGTGCCTTCCAAGTGCTGAGCCTAGAGGCACACACCACCACATATGGCTTTTTTTTTTTTTAAAGATAGTTGGAAAGGGCTGGGGTATAGCTCAGTGGTAGAACAAAGCAGACAGTAGGAGTTTGGAGAAACAGAAAATACTCAGAACATTCAAAACAAAACATTGGCAGGGTATGATGCCTGTAATCTCAAAAGGTGAAGCAGGAGGATTGTCAGGAGCCATTTCCCCCCTAACAATCATTACAGAAACCATCACTCTAGGGAGTCTGCAGAGAACCTCACACCCATAGTTATGTTCTATTGACAAAACCTGCCCCTCACCCAATTAACTGCTAATCTTAGCGGAACCCGCCTCACATTCCAGCTATCCAGGGAACCAGGTGTGGCCACTTGTGACTTCTGGCCTGTCTGTCTGAATGTAACCGAGCTACGTGACCGGAACCACGCGGCCTGCGAGATCCCGTACCCTGCCCCTCATCCCTTACCATATATAAACTGTAACCCGTCCCTAATAAACTGAGGCCTTGACAAAGTTGCTTGGCCTCGTTCTTCTGTCTTAGCTCACTCCCTTCCAGGTAGCGCCCCTCCGAGACCCTGGAATAACTTGATTGCGGGTGGGTTACTAACCCCTAGACTGAGTACCCCACCCAACGCAATCCACAGTGGCGCCCGAACCAGTGACTCGGAGTACGGTCAGCTATCGGACGACACGCGCAGTCCCGGGACAACAACAAGAAGAAAAATGAAGGTTCTGCGGCTGTAGTACTCGGACAGATGGCAGAACGGGAGGTAGGCGCAGGTTCACGTCGTCCCACAAGGGGTGAGACAATCACTTTCAAAGGAAGAGAAATTCATGCAGGAATTTAAGCATTCACTCAGGGACAGAGGAGTAAGAGTCAAAAACAGAGATTTATGTGTTTGCTTTATGTATATGTCTTTAACTCCCTGCCACATGGAGCGAAAGCTGACAGGCAGGTTTGCTATAAAGGAGTCTAGACTCAAAAAGCTGCAGCTGCATTTAGGACAGTAAATATGCTTCTTTTCCATTTCAAAAATCTTGCTTCTTGGTCAAAAATCTTTAGTTTGTAGGTGTAAAAGTTTATATCTAAGGTAGATTAAGTTCAGTACTGTGTTTCTGTAGAAAAAGTTTTAAGGTCAAAGATTGTGATGCATTCAGAGGATTTTTAGAATTGTTTAGGCTATCTGAGTTTTTATTTCTTTATTATAAGGTTGGGGATTGTTCTTTTGAGTTCTGTATTGTTCTTTTGAGTTCTGTGAAAAGTTTTGCTATAATTTTAATGAACATTACATAAAGTCTGTATGTGAGTTCTGTGAGAAATGTTGCTATAATTTTTAATGGACATTTACACTGAATCCGTAGACTGCTTTCAGTGAAATTGTCATTTTTGCTGTGTTTCTTCTGCTTTCGCAAGAAAGTAGGGGATCTTTCAAGATTTAAAATTCTTATCCGACAATTTTCGTTTGTACGGCCCGCTCTTGGGTGGGAATCGTAATGTTTCAGCTTGAGGTTCTTTCCTGCTGCCAGGTGTTGCTTCAGGCCTCTCACTAAATTTATCAAGGGCCAGAGTTATACTCTTAGCAAGTGATAATGGTTAAAAGTAAAAAACATTTCGGCCTTCACAGGCAGAGATGACAGGACCCAAAAACTTTTGTCCTGCTTGCTTAAAGTCACTCCTAGATATTTTGTGGTATTCATGGATATTTAAAAGGATGATGTCTCATTTATCCTAGGTGTAAAAGAGATACCTTTGGGTTATTTTTAGATTCTGGCTATGATAAAGTTCTGCTCTGGGCATGGCAGAGCACGTGTCCTTGTGGTATGGTTAAACAACCTTATATTTAGGCCCAAAAGGGCTACTGCTAAGTTTTGAGGTAGATATCTGCCTAATTTTACATAATGGAGGTCCCTCACTGCTGGGGAGACTCTCACTCAGGTCTTGGGAGGGCGCGCCCCCCCCCCATGGCTTGCCAAAGACCGTCCTTGCTGAGGTCGCTTACACGTGGCCTTGGTTGGTGGGGGAGGAGTTCGACCCCCAGTGACCGGAAAAAAGAATTTTTAAGAAGACCACAGCCCGGTGGTCCAGAAAGGTCATAAAAATTTCAAAAACCTACGGAGGCTCCCTGCCTCTTGGGACCACTCCCAGTGTCATAATCAGCTAGTTCCTAAAACAGTACTGTGATCATTGCAGCGGGAAAACTAGTTTTTCAGGATTGCAGTTTCTCGGGATTACTATCAGGATTGCAGTTTCCCGGGGATTGCTATCAGGATTGCAGTCTGGTTTTGTATTGAGTTAGTTCCTGGTGCAGGGTTGCTGAACAGGCTAACCCTGGATTTTTGATTCTCCTCTTCCTGCTGGGGGGGCTGGAGAGATGGCTCAGTGGTTAAGAGCATTGCCTGCTCTTCCAAAGGTCCTGAGTTCAATTCCTGGCGGCCACGTGGTGGCTCACAACCATCTGGAGTGAGGTCTGGTGCCCTCACAAGGCTAGTCCTGGATTTTTGATTTTTCTCTTCCTGCTGGGAGAGTTTGGATTTGTCCAGGTTTTTCAATGCTGTGTGTGATTCAGGGATGGCTGTGCCAGTATGTACTTCCAACACTGCTCCCAGCGCCGCAGCTGCCGCCACGGGCTGCAGCTCACTTCCAGCGAGTTTTTTCCCTACCCACGTTTTCTTAAGCATAGATTGTTAACAATAATTTTTAATCTTGGTCATTTTTACAAGGATAAGGTAAATCTCAGAGTTTTGATTTGCCTTTCTCTGACGGCTAAAGGATGTTATATTCAAACATTTTTTAGGTGTCTCTCAGTCATTTTTAAGTACGTTTGTTAAGAGTTTTTCAGTTTAGGTCTATAACAAATATTTTTATTGGATTAAATTTTTAATAACTAATTTCCTGAGTTCTTCACATATTTTTGGAATGGATTTATGATAAATAAAGATCTTTTCCCACTCCATAGCCTTGTTATACAAAAGGTTCTCAATTCAGGAGATCTAATTTATGGTTTCTCACAATGTTTGTGCCACTGAGGCTGTGTTTACGATGTGGCAAGGTGTGCTTCAAAAAATTTTTCTCTATAAGTTTCAACAAAATTTTTATATGCTGAAGCCTTTGGCTCATTTGGGCTTAAATTTTGTTCATGAAGATGGATATAGATCTATTTTCATTCTTCTACATGTTGGTGTCTAATGAGACCAGCATTACTAGTTAAAAAATGCTTCATTTTTCCATTTTCCTATCTGCAAGGCAGACTTGGAACTTAAGAGGAGGATAGCTTACAAACTTTTGGATGTCCAATGGTTAAAGCCCTACTTATAATGTTCTTATGAGAGATATTGAGCTGCTAGGTAAAATTCTTACAAAAAACAGTTTCCAATAGAGAGCTTAAAACAAGCTGCCTAGCAGGTACTCAAACAGGTAAAGTATACAATAATCAACAAATACAGTATATTAATTATAATTCAGCTATGGCAAATATGTATATTAAATGTAAAACTTATTCTACAACAGTTTTATAAAAAATGCTGTTTATGGCTAAACCTTCTCAATTTTGCCAATTAAGATATTAAACTCTTAATTTAGAACAGTAGCCTGTCTGATACAAAAGGACAGGATAACGTCTAGAAAAAAATGGTTAGATAGAATATTGACTATAATCAATGTTTCCTAAACAATAGATTCATTGATAATTTTAAGATGGATTCCTGGACAATTGCCTTTGCTCAATTCAAGGCCAAAAACGATGATCTTTTCCCAGATCATTGCTACAATTCACACACCTGTATTTTACTAATGTTATGGCAAAAAAATCTCTTAAAGGATTTTATGCTAGAATTTTACAAATGGCTCTTCCAATGGAGGAACTGCATATATGGTTGATGGTAATAATAAAAAAAAAAAAATTGTGGAGCATAACAAGGCTCCTTGAAAGCAACTCATAGAAGTTGCAAGCAGATCCAGATGCAAATGGATCTGGCCTGATAACACCAAGCTGACCTTTGCTAAGGCAAGGTGGAAAAGCCCTTGCAATGCATTATGAAAAAACCCGACCTATATATATTTGGGGTCGAGGATGTGTTTATGTTTTTTCACAGAAAGAAAAAATCTGGACCTGAGTCGTGGCTGCAGACATCCCACAGAGGAGTTCCAGAGATGATTGCAGAGAGGTCCTTGGTCCGGCCTTCCCTGCCCCCAAGGAGAAGAGTTCCTGATAACAGAACCTGCTACGCCACTCTGCGGGGTGTCATCCTGTCTCCAGAGTCCAGCCTGAGATAAGTGCCAGGATGTGCTTCAGATAGCTGAATCCAGCTCACCTCACCCAGGAATTCCACCTGCCCTGAAGCACAAATGCTGAACTGCCTCTACAGTTTGAACTCTGGTTTGCTTTGAAGCTGAGATGCAGACTAAACAACTGTTTTAATTCTTGGGACACAAAACTCATTTTAAATTAAAATATTAACGCCTCTTCACTTAAGAAGGGGGAAGATTGGGGTTCCTGTCACTGTTGCTCAGAGACTGGAACTGGTGGTATTAAGTAACAACAATGTATGTCATTGTACTCTTACTGCAATTGATCTAATGATATTTGTAACTGCTTATGTTGAAAAAGGTTTGACACATGCTGTAAAGTGTTTGGGTTTAGTGCATATGTTAAAAATTTTAGATTTAGATCCCTTTACACTGCACTAATTTTTGGCAAACAGCACTCATAATTTTAATGTGGAGTAGGCATTTAGGAAGGAGGATACCTTAGGCCAGACTAAAAGGTGAATACTGGGTTTGGAAGGTGCCCTTCCTTCTTGTCTAAAAATGGAGCTATTGGTGCCCAAAATTATATCATTATATCTTTTGTTTGAGGAGCTCCTCACAGTTTTTCATTAATGATAGACTCAGGCACCCAATGACGGGAGTTAGTGTGGATCCTCACCTGAATAGCACACCATACAGAGGCTGTAAAGGCCGGCTCAACATGGCATGGTGCCAGGTACGAGGAAAGCTCTCCACACAGCCTAAGACAGGATGCCCTGTGGTCTGCTTACTTTAATCCTGCTAGATACCTTTTATTTGAGAAGCTCCAAGGAACTAATGCTAATCATAAGGCACCCCTCTGTTCCCATGAGAGGTAAAATTGCTTCACCATTCGAGAGGAGGGTTTCTACTTGTCCCAGTCCCTTCTCTTTTAAATCTGACACCAGGGTTGACTCTGACTTGGTGCCCTCCACTTAATAACTGTTTGCCTTTATATAAGAGAGGGGGAATATGTCAGGAGCCATTTCCCCCCTAACAATCATTACAGAAACCATCACTCTAGGGAGTCTGCAGAGAACCTCACACCCATAGTTATGTTCTATTGACAAAACCTGCCCCTCACCCAATTAACTGCTAATCTTAGCGGAACCCGCCTCACATTCCAGCTATCCAGGGAACCAGGTGTGGCCACTTGTGACTTCTGGCCTGTCTGTCTGAATGTAACCGAGCTACGTGACCGGAACCACGCGGCCTGCGAGATCCCGTACCCTGCCCCTCATCCCTTACCATATATAAACTGTAACCCGTCCCTAATAAACAGAGGCCTTGACAAAGTTGCTTGGTCTCATTCTTCTGTCTTAGCTCACTCCCTTCCAGGTAGCGCCCCTCCGAGACCCTGGAGTAACTGGATTGCGGGTGGGTTACTAACCCCTAGACTGAGTAGCCCACCCAACGCAATCCACAGAGGATGTCTCTGAGTTCAAGCCTGTGAGAGCCTGTATTTCAGTATAATTAATCTCAGTGCGTGGTCTACACAGCTTTCCAGGAATGTCTACATAAAGGAAAGCACACACTGGGAGTGGTGGGCTGGCCTATAGTCCCAACACTCAGGAAGCTGAGACAGGAAAATGCAGAGTGAGAGACCAGCTTGGGATATTCAATGGCCTTGTCTACAGAAAGAAGCAAAAGGAAGCCCATGGGCCTGTGTTTTCATTCTCATTCTGCCGCCCCCCATTACTCTCTGAGGTGCCAGGGTCTGTTGAGTAGCACTCTTGGATGGCAGAGGGTTACCTGGGTATAGTGGGAGCAAACAGGACCCCTGCAGAGCCGAGGGCAGTGTGGGGCACAGTCCTTCGGAGCTGGGAATGAGTAATGCCGCTTTTCCTCAGACCAAGACTTCACGAGATCTACCACAGAACGGTACCTGGGGAGGCCGAGAACATGGAAGGCAGTGAAGGGAGGATGGAAAATCACCACCTTGTTGGTGAGTGCCCTCATCCTCTGGCACATTCCCCATCTGTAAGACGGTAGGATGTAGACAGGTCGTACTTACCTCAGGGGTTATGGTCTGAGGAGCGGTTGAGGAGGGCGACAAAGCGCTCACCTGTGTTTGGCACATAGCGCTCAGTAGAGCTGTGTGAAGAGCCAGGTTCTGGTGGCACTTCAGACACAGTGTTTTTAGGGAAAGAGAGGCATGCTGGACCATCAGGCTATCCCAGGAAGCTCTCTGCAGACTGAAGTACCTGATGGGGTCTGAGGACTTTCTCCATACCTGCCTGAGGAGATCAGGCCTCCCAAGCAATTCTCTCTGGGACAGAGTTTAGAAGCAGTCTTGTGCTGGAACTTGAGGCTGTGCTGAATTAAATCACATGAAACTTCCTGCTGGTCCCCTCAAATTTACAAAAGTCTGATGTTCCTTCAGTTCTTGGACTTGCTCTGGGCTTTTTCCCGGATGACTTCCCTGAGGAGGCTCTCTTCTGCCCTTCACCATCCCTCTCACGGAGGCTCCCTTTCTTGAGACAGTGCCTGTCTCTGTAGCTCAGGCTGGCCTTGAACTCACAGAGACTGGCCTGCCTTTGCCTCCAGAGTGCTGGGATTAAAAGTGTTGCCACTACAGCTGGCTCTCCCTATCTCTCTTAGTCTCAGTTTTAACAAAAAAGATTAAATGTTGGAGCTGGAGAGGTGGCACAGAGGTCAAGAGCACTGGTTGCTCTCCCAGAGATCCAAGTTCAGGGCACCAGAGTGCGTGTGACAAACACATATACACATAAATATAAAATGCTTTTTTAAAAAAGATTTATTTTAAATTTTGTGTGTGTGTCTGTGTATGTGTATATTATCGTCAGCTTTCCTTCCTGGACTGCCCATTGGTATTTTATCTTACTCTTCATCTTTATGTTGAACAGGCAGGCGTGAGCCAAAGAGCAGACAGGGGTGGCCTGGGAGTAGTCACACTGGCGAAGTGCGACTGTGCCTCTGCTCTTCACACCCTTTCTCGGTGAGTTTCAGAACGGCTGGCCATCAGGCCGCGGAGAGTGCAGCAGTGTGAAGAAGTTCATCGTAGGAGAGAGCACGTGTGAGCTTGAGGAATGACCCGGTCACTGAGATGAGATCTGCAGGGCTCTGAGACACCAGTCACAATCCCCAAGCTCGGCACTGGCTCCAACCAGTTGGTGATATGCAAAGGTGCAGAGGGGCCCAGAGGGGCCAGAAACTCAGTCGTCAGGACCAACCCTGATCCGTCTGAGGGCATGGCAAACCGGTAGGATGGGGAGCGCCGTGTTTTCCTAATGTCCTCAATTGTTTGAATAAAACTGACATATGACCGTCTCTTAAATGTTTATGTGTGTGTCTGTGTGCACATGTGCACACACATGTGTTTGTGTGGGGCATGCGTCTACATGTGGAGGCCAGAAGTCAACCCCAGGTATCATGTCTTAGATGCCCTCTACCTTGTTTTTTGAGGTAGGGTCTCTCACTGGCCCCCCCAAAAAATCTGCCTGGTCAGTGATCCCCAGGGATCTTCCTGCCTCTATTTCCCCAGGGCTAAGATTTCAGGCATGCGCTGTTGTGCTCGGCTTTTTGTGGGTTCTGGGGGTTGCACACAGGCCCTTGTGCTTGCCAGACAAACACTTCACTACTGGAACATCTCGTCAGCCCTTGTTACTGTCTTATGAAACTCACAAGTCTAGAAATAGCTAATCTAGGTCAAAGGAGACCCCAAGTTTTGGAACATAGGCCAAACTTCCTCGGAACTCAGGCGCCCACTTTCTGACTCAGAAGCTGGCATGGTGAGGTGACAAAAGCCAGGCTGGCAGTTCAGTTCCATTGCTGTTCCTGGGCCCCATGTCCTCACCTCCTACCCCCTGTCCTTGTTCTTCTCCCCGCAGCCCTCACTACTTTACTAAGCACGTGAGTCTTCCAATCCATTCTTGCTCTCTGAAGTATCATGAGCTCCAGTTTGTCTGCCCCGTATTGCAACTACGGATGAGTTAGTTTCTATATGTGCAGAGCTCATCTGCCTGGCTCATCCCAGTGACCACCACTGCACATGGCACCGGGGCCAGAGTAAGTACTCGGCGTCCATGTGTCCAACGACCGAATGAAGAAAGGGCAGAGATTCACTCACCGGCCGGAATGGATCGAGAGGTTCTGGCCCACGTATTTCATCAGCTGTGAGGGTCCATGGGCCCAGATGCACTGAGTGGCCCAGGCTTCAGCAGACCTGGCCAGCTGCTCATCCCAAACCTGATGAAAGAACGACCAGGAACTTGCCCCAGGGTAAAGAACCACCATGACCGAAGCGGGGTGCAAACAGGCCCACTTACCTGGCACCATGCTTCCTCTGTCTCCCGAGATCAACACACCCACATAGAGATCAGAAAACAGAGGCTCAAAGACTTTGACTCCGCGGTCAAGCACAAATCCATAGCTGAGCCCTATGCTCAGGTCTCTGGCCCAGAGCCCCGTGCTTTCTTCCTCTCTAGACCTCAAAGATAAAGTCCTCAGCTCTGCTTGGAATCCTGGGGCATTTGTTTAATAGTTATCAGCACTTCCTATGTGTGACTGACTGAGCCCAGAATGAAGAAGAATCATTGATTCTAAGTTTGCAGTATTTTCATTTAAAAATTGAATTCAAGACCTCTTTTAAAAGCTTAAAAACATGTAAAAAATCTAAGATAAAAAATAATGAAAGCAGGGCATGGAAGTGCACACCTTTAATCCTGGCATTCAGCAGACAGAAACAGGTGGATATCTATAAATTTGAGGTCAGTCTGGTCTACATAGTGAGTACCAGGTCAGTCAAGGCTATATCACAGACAGATACTGTTATATATAATATATAATGTATATATATATATGACATCAACAGAAGGCAAAGTGGGACATTCTACATCTCTCATCACGCCTGTACCTTTCCCCAACAGTCTACAACCATAAATACTCCCTGTAACCCAGACATATAGATCACAAATGACTGTGTATGCTCGGTTCTATAGCTAATTCTTCATTTGACAAGACTGGGGATTCTTCCACAGCAGTGCCTATTAAACCTCCTCCTTAACCTTCTTCGTAGTTATATAAGTATCCAGTGTGGAAATTCTTCACAGTTTATAGCTGGGGGGCACGGTTATCTCTTTAAGAAAAAATACTAGTTCCTAGGGTTGGAGAGATGATTCAGAGAACAAGAGCACTTACTGGTGACCTGGGTTTGGTTCCCAGCACCCACATGGCAGGTCACAATTGCCTGTAACTCCAGTTCTAGAGAATGACACCCTCTTCTGTTTAAGAGAAGCCTGGACTACATGAGACAGGGAAAATTATGGGGACGTGAGAAGAGAGAAGAGCCCTACCCCATGATCCGGAGCCTGGTTAAAGTCTCCCACCAGCTGAGCTTTGAGGACTCAAGCACAGCTAATAACATTTTCCACTGATGACAAGACCTTGTCTCAAAGCTAAACTAAGGGCCGGAGAGAGATGGCTCAGTCGTTAAGAGCTCTTCCAGAGGACCAGGGTTCAGTTCCCTGTATCCACATGAAGGTTCAGAATCATTTGTAACTTCAGTTCCAGGGGATCCAAAGCCTCCTCTGACCTCTTGGGTACCAGGCACACACATGGTACACGGGCTTACATGCAGGCCAAACACCCATACACATAAAATAAATAAATAAAATTGTAACAAGCAACACCCCCAAACCCAGTTTCCTCCCAACTGTGACTCCCTGGAATTCTCTGTGTTAGTATTTGTTCACTCAGCAAATATTGAACAATAGTCTTTGGCACCAAGGCCTCAGTCTAGCAAGGAAATGACCTGTCAAACAAGCATGACTCACGGCAACCCCAGGGCATGTGGGAAAGTGGGACAGACGTGACCCAGACCTTCTTGGGGCTTGGAAGAAAGGTTTCGGGAGTGAGGGTCGTTTGGTCTCACTCTGATCTGCAGGCAAAACCGCCAAGCAAAAGAGAAATGGGGACGCAAGAAGCTCCCACCCCAACCCACCCTACCCCACCTCATTGCTGCCTCCTGCTTTTTAGGGAAAGCAGAGAGGGAGAGAAGGAACAAAGGAGAAGCCGTGCGACCCTCCCCAGCATCCCTGGAGGGAGTAGCTGGCTTGCCTCTCCCAGCATCCCTGGAGGGAGTGGCTGGCTTGCCTCTCCCAGCATCCCTGGAGGGAGTGGCTGGCTTGCCTCTCCCAGCATCCCTGGAGGGAGTAGCTGGCTTGCTTCTCCCAGCATCCCTGGAGGGAGTGGCTGGCTTGCTTCCTGTGCTCTATACCATAGGCAGTAAGTAAACACCTGCTGAGGCTAGTGCCACCCATACCGCTGGTGCTCAATTAATGTGTCATTTATTTGGGAACTAGAGGCCTTCTGCGTGGCAGTTTCGGCGTTAATAAATGAATGAGTGAAAGAGTCAGCAGATAATTGACAGTCCGCCCACCCCACCCCCAGCTGCCTGCCATCCAGTTCTGGACCCTTCCCAATTTCCTCCTGACTTGTGATATTGGCCTCTATATCTTGTTGGTGACTTTTAGTTTTTCTTGCCACCCCTCGCCTTCCCCCCCCCCCCATCCCAACCAAGTCTTCTTGAGGGAGTAAGCCTGGTCCTCCATGGTATCCAGAAAAGGCTTAGCGCTGTGCCTGGCTTCACAAAGGAGGTCTCAGAGAACGCTGAAAGGGGGCCACCTTTCCACTTGTTAGGCAGGAGGAGGCCTATCTGCTGTCTCTCTTCCTAAAGACGCCTGTATGGGCTGACGGCTATCTCTCCAGGCTTTGGGGACAATGGTCCTGGGGAGGGGTTGTGATAGGAGGATTTTTCTCCTCCACCCTGGGGGCTGACTAAGCTAAGAGACACTATGACTGACAGGAGAAGACACCCCAACCTGCACTGAGATTTGGCTCCTGGCCTTCCTCAACCCAAGATACCCTGGTGCCTGCCTGTCCTCCACTGGGGCTGGGAATGAATGGTCCCTGCGGGTTAAGCAACTGGCTCTGCTGAGAGACAATGGTCTGGAAAGCGCCCTGGTCTCCCACCCCCTGCAGGTTCCCAGTGTGGAGGTAAAAGTCTTGGGCTTCATATTGTGTTAATTGAATCTCCCAGCTTAGCATCAGGCAGACCAGGCTTGCAATCCAGGCTGGGGGAACTTAGGCAAACTTATCCTCTGACTCTCAGTCCCTTCATTTTGGAAAACAGATAAAATACTGTCTTGAAAGAAAGAGGGTTTATGTGAAGGCCCTGGCAGGGCGCAAAGATGTCCTACAGATAGCATTCTTCTCTCCCCACCCCCACACACGCCCATTCGCTGAGGATTTATGCCATGACCTTACTTTCTGCATCTGTCAAATGGATTGCTCATTGTCTCCGTTTGCTTGGGCTAGGCGGGCAGATGGTCCAGTACTTCCAAGTCAGCCAGCCACTGCAAGCCACAGTGAGCAGACTGGTGTTGGCTGAGAGGTGCACCGGGAAGGCTTTGGACTCACCATATACTCCATGTTGGCAGCAGGCGGGTGTACGCTGGCCCGGATGTGGTTGTGATAATCCAGCAAGGCGCTCATGTCCCCGGCAGAGATATGGCGTTTCCGGCGGTACCGGGGCACCCCCAAGCCAGACAGGGGCCACACAGCTATGTTCTTGGGTCGGCCCAGGACCACTGTGGTGTTGGGCATCCTTAAGGCCCCCACTGTGTGGCCTGTCCAGAGGAGAAGGCCTGCCAGGCCCACGATGCTGGCCAGAAGAGGCATAGCTGTCTGGGATCGTGTACCTGTCTGATGCCGAGCAGAGCTGCTGCCTAGGAGAGGTGGGTGTGAGAATGCCAAACCCTGAGAGGTCTCCTCGGACACTGCCAGTCCAGAGAATATTCTCCGGGAACTTGGCAGAGATCCTCTGGCCCAGCTCTGGTCCAGATACTCAATACTTCCTCCTTCCTCCCCTGTGGACTCAGTTGGTTAGGTGATGAGAAGAAATGCCCAGACAGTGGCTAATCCAGACTGGACCCTGGAGTGGCAAAGTGTTACCACTTCAAAGTCAGGGCTCTGTCACATTTGCCTGGGAGACAGACATCTCCTCTGGCCAAACACCCTTTACCAATCCCATAATGTTGGGCTCATTTGATGCCCACAGAAGCAGAACGGGCCCTTTTCTCGGTGCGGCAGCCTCAGGATGGAGGGGGTGACATGGGACGGACAGATGGCAGAGGATGGCAGAGGCAGAAGGTCTCTGGAGGTCAGAGAAAAAGACAAGAGAGACCAGAGAAGGGAAATAGAATGGGAGAGAAGAGAGGAGTGAAGACAAGAGAGGGCAGGAGAGGAGAGGAGAAGGGAGGCCAGAAGAGGTCAGCGTAGTCCGGGCTTCAAGTTCACTAGGGCACATACCCAGAACAGGCAGCCCCAGGAGGTGGCTGAGAAGGCAGGGACTTCTGCAGATATCCTGGTAGCGCAGCACTTTTAACAGTCCATGAGGAGCGACGGCATCTGACGTCCCATCTAGCAGCCCCCTCCTTATCCAGCCAGCACATTCAGAGAGAGGCTCCGCCTGCCTCTTCTGTGGGCTTTCCCCTCCAGCCCTTTGCCGTCTGGAGTGTGCAGGGGCTGTGGTTAGCTGCCAGCTGAGCGGGGGTGTAGCAAAGGGGTAGGAGTCCTGGGAGGACATGCACCCAGGGAGATCCCAGACCCAGTGGAGGCCTCTACTTGCCAGACCCCTGTAGAATAAGGCAGCAGGAGAGAGTTCCGACTTCTCCCTAGGAAGCCCTCCAGTCTCTGAATGGGCAGACATGATGGGATCCAGGTATGAACATCTTCCATGTGTCACACCTTGGGATGAGAGCAAACACAGCCAACATTCAGAGGCTGGTGCCACGACCGCTACCTGTCCTGTTTCGTAGAGGAAGACTTTCCCACAGAGGTGAATGAAAAAGAAGGCCACAGTCAAGAGAGCCTGGGTTCAAATCCAAGTCTGCTTGGTGCCCAGGGCCCTGTTAGTTAGAGAAATTAATTGATGTTCTGCTCTGTACCCCAACAAAATGCAGATGTGTGGGGTGAACCCTGGAGAAGGCTTGAGCCACTAAACAACGTGGTGTGTGTGTTCAGCAAAGGGGTTCAAACCCCTTTAATCCATTCACTGCAAAACATCCATGAGCAGTTGATGGGTGAACCGTTTGACCCTCACTGGTACAAGTGAGAGCAGTGAAGGTACCTGTCTCAACAAACACTCGTGAGAGCACATGAGTCAATGTTTGTGAAGTTACGACAGCAGCTGCCACACAATGTGTTTTCTGTGGGTGTGTGCACTCATGTTCACACACACCCATGTGCTCTCATTTGGCTGTTTACACTTAGATGCTATGTGCGCGCCAGTGCAGTTATATGTACATAGGCGTGCGGGTTTCTGTGTCCTGTCGTGTACATCCAGGTGCGTGCATGAGCACACAGGAGTCTACATATACATGCATGGGTGTGATTGGAACCCAGCTGGTCTCTGAGATGCTGAAACTGAGGGTTTGGCATTCATGTCTCTCCTCTTTGGTTGCTTGTGTTTTGCACAAATAACAAACATTCCTTTAATTCTAGGGGAGTCACACTTACAGGAAATGTGTAAAAGAAACAAGGTTGAAAACCCCCAGGCTGGGGCTATAGAGTTGGCTCAGTGATTAAGAGCACTTGATGCAAAGGACCTGGGTTTAATTCCCAGCATCCACATGGAGGCTCGCCACCTCCTAGGGCATGAGGCACACATGTGGTACACAGACATACATGCAGGCAAAACACGCATACACGGCAAGACTGAGTCCCTGCTCAGCTAGCGGTGCAGGGCTGAAGACAGGCTGGGTCACTCGGGCCAGGTCTTCCTCCCCAGACACTTGAAACCCTAGCTCCAGGCTGCCACCCAGACTGCTCCTCCACAGCCCAGACAACACGGCCGCCAAAACACACTCCTGCTACAGCAATGTCCCTGGCCACAGCATCCTTCGCTTGGCCAAACAACGACTGGAAACTAAAGGAGGCTGTGGGAGGCTGAGATCCCTGACCTCAGCAGGGCCTTCCCACCATAGGGTAAGAAAAGCAGACACAAATAACACTGGTTCTTGGGGACTGGGGACTGTCAAGTCCAAACCCCTCTGGCTGCCTGACCTGGACCACTCCCATGTGAGGTGCCCAAACCTTGTTTCAGAGTTTAGCATTAATGGTCCCAGTTCACAGGGCATCTTTGAGGCAGAGACACACCTATTGTACAGATGGAGACAAACTCTGCTCCCCTGTGGACAAGACTGACCCCTTTCCATGAAGCAGATTTTCAGCAGATAAAATAGCCAGGGTAGGGCAGGTAATAATTAGGAGTGGCCCAAATTAGGAACTCTGGGTTAGTGTCTACTCCTGCTCAGTTCAGTTACTGCCTGTTTCTTGCCTTCTCTGAGCATGGGCAAGGAAAGGGCATTCTCCCAAAGAGTGGGATTGAGGCTGTGTAGATTGGTGTGTTGCGGGACAGGCTAGATCCAGACAGCCTGGGTTGCTGGACCAGATCCAAGGATCATTGGCTGAGTGGCCACCAGCAAGCTAGTCAACCGTTTTATGCTTTGGTACCTTTGTCTATAAAGTGGAGCCACCGGGCTGGAGAGAGGGCTTAATGGTGAAGGGTGTGCTCTACTCTTCTTGAGGACCTGAGTTTGGGTCTCAGCATGAATGTTAGGTGACTTACAACTCTTGAAACACGTATGCGCACACACATGCGCATGCACACACGCATGTACACACACACACATACACACACACACTAGGGGAGGGAGTTAAAAATAATAAAAATATGGGGCCAAGGCCAGGCATGATGGCACACACCTTTAATTCCAAAACCCAGGAGGCAGACACAGACTGTGAATTCAAGGCAAACCTGGTTTACCTAGTGAATTTCAGACCAGTTGGGGCCTACGGTGACATTCTATTGAAAACAAAACAAAACCCTCATTTATCACGGCACAATCTGTAGTCCTCTCTCTTTCTACCATGTGGGTCCCAAGGTCAAACTCAGTTCGTCAGGCTTGGCCACAAGCACCTTTACCCACTGAGCCATCTTGCCCCATTGGTTTCTCTTAAGGCAATAAATGAAATGCCTGTCATAGCACAAGCTGCGGGTGTTTATAATAGCTAATAATAACATCAGCAGGCAACATTTGTGGAGCATGTGGAAGATGATACATTCTAAATGCTTCATACATGTAGTCTTGTTAAGCCTTATTCCATGATCATGATGCCAGCACCCCTGATCTCCAGCTGACAAGGTGGAAGCTCAGATAGGCTAAGCAGTTTGCCCAAGTTCAGATAGTCAGCCCCAGGGGAATCAGGATGCTAGGATAGGTCTCTCTCATTCCTGCGCACAGGCGGTAGCTGAACCAAGAGTGTGGACCAGGAGACTGCGGCTGGACAGAGGGGAGTGGGAAGCAGACAGGCCCTTAGAGATCATTGGGGCCATTTGTCAGTTGAGAAAAGAGGTTCAGAGAGGTCAAACAACTTGTCCAAGGACAATACACAGCAGCTGGCAGGCTCAGGACTGCAGCCCAGATCTGTTACTCCAAATCCAAGCAGGAGGAGGGCAGTCATTAAGAACAGAAAAGCTACAGGATTTTTGTTTTGTCTTGTTTTTTCTTTGTTTTGAAATAAGGTTCTGCTCTATAGCCCAAACTGGCCTCGAAATTGCAATCCTCCTACTTAAGCCTTTCCACAGTCTTTAAAAAAAATTTTTAATTTTATTTTTTTAAAAAATATTTAAAATGTTTATGTGTATGAGTAGTTTGCCTGCATGTGTGCAAGCACACCATGTGTGTGCCTGGTTTAATTAGGGTCATAATGCTATAGGGTTTTTACATGGATAAGATGATATGCTACGTCCCAGGCATGGTGGTGCATACCTGTAATCTTTAGTATTCTGGAGGCGAAGGCAGAGGGATCAAGAATTCAAGGTTAGTATCAATCACATAGTAAACTCTGGGGCCAGCCTTGACTTCATGAGACGCTGTTTTAAGAAACAACAACAAAAAAGAGACACTGCTGACTAGAGATATACCTAAAGCAACAAAATTACAAAGAAAAACACACCAAAAATACTGTCAATAGTAGAAAGGAGTCTAAAATTACTGGGGTGGGACATTTGAAGGGGTTTCTAGTGCTTGACTGGATTCGTGCTTATAGACTGGCTCACCCCACAATACACCTTAGGCTACAGGCTCCACAATTGGTTTAATTTTTTTTTTTTTCGAGACAGGGTTTCTCTGTGGTTTTGGAGCCTGTCCTGGAACTAGCTCTTGTAGACCAGGCTGGTCTCGAACTCACAGAGATCCGCCTGCCTCTGCCTCCCAAGTGCTGGGATTAAAGGCGTGCGCCACCACCGCCCGGCTTGGTTTAATTTTTTAATATTTATTTATTGCGTGTGTGTGTCCAGTCAGGAGACAACTTGTGAGGTTCTTCTTTTCACCATGTGGGTCCAAGGAGTTGAACTCAGGCTATGAGGGGTAATGAATCGTAGGTGCTTGGTACACAGACACAACCTGCTAGCCCCACAGTTGACTTTTATGTTTTATTTTGAGACAGTCTCAGGTAGCTTAGGCTTCCTATGAACTCAATATGTAGTCAAGGATGACCTTGAACTTTTTTTTAAAATGTGTATTATGTTTTGCCTGCATGTATCTCTGTGTGAGGGTGTCAGAAGCTCTGAACTTGAGTTACAGATATGCGAGCTGCCATGCGGGTATTGAACTCAGGACTTCTGGAAGAGCAGCCAGCGCACTTCACCAATGAGCCAGCCCCAACTTTAAACTTTTGATCCTTCTGCTTCTAGTCATGGGCCATCATTCCCAGCATCTAGTCAGTGCTGAGGGTGGGACCCGGACATTTGTGCATGCTATGTAAACAAACACTCTACCAACGAGCCAGTGAGCTGAATGCCCAGGTCATAGTTCACGTTTTGGGTTTGTGTTGTTTTATAATTCCGAAAGCTGAACATTGACAATCACAGTTCCCAGCCCCAGTTCCCACCTTAGTTATGTACAGGAATTTTAATCTTCTTTTAACAGTTGAGAACATAGCTTCAAAGAGGGAGGCCACTGCCTGAAGCACATAGCAGCGAGTACATCAGGACACCAAGATTTGACCTGTAGCCAGGCCTGTGTCCCCAGAAGAGCAGAATGGAGAGGCTGCGGGTGACTGTCCCTGACCTAGGGAGGGGGCCTGGAGAGTCTCACAATGGCTCAGAGTATCTGGTAGCTTTGCAAATAAGTATACATAAAATACCTCTGGGCCCCAAGGCCTTGTACTTTGTTCTCTCTGCGCCCCATTCTGCACTGGCTCTTTTGTGGATCACTCAGAGGGAAGCAGGATGATGTAGCGGGTGAGGGCCAGCATTTCGGAGTCTAGAACTCCATATGACCCACACCAAGGCCTAGGCCGTCTCTGGAACTCTTTCTTGTCTCTAAAATGGGAATAAGAAATAGGTGCTTCCGAGCTGGGGCATGGTGGCGAAAGTCTTATCACCCTAGATACTCCGGATAGCAAGGCTGGAAGGTGGTATGTTCAAAGTTAACCTTGAACTTAGACGGAGCCTATCTCACAAAAGTGAAAAGAGGGGTCTGTAATATGGCTAAGTGGGTACAGGGGCTTGCCGCCAGCCTAATAACCTGAGTTTGAGCCCAATGGAGATCTACACGAAAGTAGGAGGGAACTAAGTTGTCTTTTGCCCTACCTCCTCCCATAACACACTAAATAGGTAAATGTAATACATATATACTATATATTTAATGATATATGCTAGTATATATAAATATATTCGATGAATATAGGGTGGAGATGTAGCTCGGCGGTAGAGCACTTGTCTAGTATGTGAAAGGCCCTACGTTCAGTGCTGGGAAAGAAAAAGGTTCTTTGATCCAGGGTGACTGATCAGCTGATTGGAGTGCTGGTGCAGAGAAGCAGGAGGGGGAACCACAAACCTATTTTAATTGACCAGATGCCTAAATCTGGATGATGTGATCTTTTATTTTGGAAAAATGTGGTGTGATGATTTGATATAATTATGTAAAATACAGTGATCAAATCATGGTAATTAGCATCTCCATATCCTTGATTATTAATTCTTGCCTTGAGAGCTGTCCTGCTGTATGCGTATGTGTGTATGTGGGGGGGGGGGGTACAAGTGTATGCGTGGAGGCCAGAGGTTGACAGGGAGTGGGCTTCTTTCTTGATTACTCTCACCCTTTTGTGTGTTTGTTTTTGAGACTGTGTTGTGTCTTTTATTTTATCCAAATGCCATTGGTTAATTGAATGGAGCTCCCACAACACTGTATAGCTTTGCTTGGCCTGAAACTCACCATTGTAGACAAGGCTGGCCTTGAACTCACAGAGATCACCAGCCTCTGTTTCCCCAATGCTGAAGTTAAGGACATAAGCTACTCTGCCTGGCTCCACTTTTCTTTGAGGTAGGTGTCTCTCATTGAACCTGGAGCTAATCATTCAGCTAGATTGTCTAGCCAGGAAGCCCCAAATTCTCCTGTCTCTGCCTCCTCAGTGATAGGATCATAGGCAAGAATAGCCATGACCAGCTTCCTCCATGGGTACTTGGAGTCCCAGCTCAGGTTCTCATGCTTGCTGGAGATTGGACACAGAACTTCATGATACATACTAGGCGAACGCTCTGTCTACTACTGACCCATATCCTCAATCCTTCTCTAGCTCTTCATACAATGACTGTATGTAGTTTATGTCAGGATCCGGGTAACATTTGTGCTGGTGACTGTATGTAAAAATATACCTACTTGTATACAAGATTGGGTTAAAATTGTTACACCTCAGTACAATTTTAAGGATTCTGCAAGGTTTTTAAAAATCTGTTTAGAAGAATTTTCTCTTGCATTGACAAGATGGCTCAGTTGGTAAAGGCACTTGCCGACAAGCCTGTCCATCTGAGTTCTCTCCTCAAAACCCATGAAAGAGAAGTAACTCCTGAAGGTTGCCCTCTGTGTTAGGAATATTTCTTAAGAACGAGCCTCTCCGCCCACGCAAATAATTTCAATCAGACCAAATTAGACCGAATAAAAGATGCCCATGTTTACTGCAGCGCTCCAGGGTGGCCCAGGAAAACATGGCGAGGGAAAGAGAGAGAGAGAAAAGGGGAGACTACGCAAAACCCAGAGACCCACGTGTTCCTTTTCTGGGGAGCAGCCTAAATAGCCTGTGGGAGTGATCCTGACCCTCCTGGGGAGGGGGTCACTGTTTGGCCAACTTTCCTGGAGGCTGAGTCCGGACCAAGGCAACTTCCAGGGAGGGGGCTTGTAATGGAGCTTCCTGCTCCATCCCTGCTCCATTGGCGCTCCAAGGGTGGGCGCCAGGGGCTGAGGCGATGCTTTGAACCAAACATCCCAGACTCCTTGAATATAGGGGCTGAGGTCTCAGTTTCCATCACACATTCTGACCTCCACATGCATGCCATGATATGTGCCCTTTCCTTCAGCAAATAAATTAATGTTAAAAAACTAATAAAGTACTCTGTCAATAAGAATGCAATTTAAAATCCTAAGGAGAAACATACGCTAGAGCTGGGAAGATAATGGTTCAGTAGTTAGGAGTGTTTACTGCTCTTGCAGACAGACGACGGGAATTTGGTTGCAAGCACACATGTCGGCAGCTCCCAGTCACCTGTAACTCCACCTCCAGGAGATCACACACACACACACACACACACACACACACACACACACACACACACAATCTTTTTAAAAGAGAGATGGTGGTGCAGACCTTTAATCCCAGCATCTAGGAATCCAAAGCAAGAGGATCCCTGTGAGTTCTATGCCAGCCTAGACTACATAGTTGCTGGCTACCTGTTAGCCAGGTGCAGAGAGTAACTGGGAAACCCTGACGATGCGGGGATGGGGAGACATCTTATCCTCCTAACATACAATTCATAACCACACACGAATACCTTCCCCGACGCGCTGCCAAGGGATTTTCAAAACCCTCCATTAATCTTGAGGAGCTGGGTCGGCTGGAAAGAGTGAGGACTCAGGCAGGGAGAACAGCCTCTTGGCCAGGTGCCGAGAGTACGGAAGCCCAAAAGGCCCGCCTAGGGGAGCATTTGAGGGTACGGAGACTAACCGGGAATGGGAGAGCAGGGAGGCACCAGGAGGTCAGCAGAACTGTTCAGCAGGGGACCTTGGCGCTTTGCCAGTCTACAGGAAGCACAAGGCTGAGGATGGGAGATAGCACCGGAGGAAGGAGTATGTGTAAGAGCAGCTCTGAGCCCTTCACCCTACACCACAGCCAAGGCCTGATCTCCCACAGTCCCCTGGAACCCTCCGGAGAAGTGCCCGGAGATGTCCCCTTATCAAGGACAGCTCTGCTGAGAGGCCAACAGCGGACATCAGCCTGGTGTTTGCAGAAGCCAAGCCAGAGAGCCGCTCGCCCTCCCGAGGTGGCGCAGAGAGGAGCAGGAGAGCAGAGATGGCGTGCTTGAGCTGCTAGTCACGGATGCCCGAGGGTGACTGGTGTCGTCGCGTAGAGCGAGCTGGCCGTCAAGCCCCGAGGGTGCTCTGTGGTCCCGCTGCTGCGCCAAGGCCCTGTAGTCCCGGGTCAAAGCCATGCCCGTGGGGCTGGCGGCCGCAGGACTAGGAAAATCCTCCTCCTGGTCCAGGACAGCTGCACCCGCCAGGTGTGGCTGCGGAATTTGCTGTGTCGCCTGCCCGCGCAGCTGGAGCGGAAAAGCCCGGGCGTCAGAACCCCCTGTCTGAGCACCCAGCCGCGCATTCCTGCAAGGCCCACAGCCACCGCCCAGCTGGACCCTAAGAATTCGACAGGGCGGGGTGGAAAGGGACCGTGGGACCCTCTGGGCCACTGTCCATCTGTTAAATGGGGGTGGTTACACTGCCTTCTCTGTCTCGCCAATGGCTCTAAATGTCTCCCAAAGACCATCTTTATTTCAGAAGTGTCGTTTATTGTACCCTTAACTAGATTCTTGACCCCGAACAAAATAAGACTTCACATACTTACGCAGGCAACGCAGTTGACAAGGTTTCTGGCTTTTCCAGCAAGGAAACAGATGAACAAGGAACTTGTCAGAGGTAGGGCGGGTAATGAACACACAGCTAGACTTGAATTCACATCTGTGTTTTTAACAAAAGCAATAGATGATGTTTATACCCTGTTAGCTTGTCACTTGGTAAGCTTGGCAAAGTGCTGTGGGTGCTGGATTATCCCAAAGCAGGGTGTGTTAGAGCCGCATTCTCTAGGCCCAGGAGTCGAGTAAGGATCAGGAATGAAGCACTTTGTCCAGTGGGGCGTACGTAACTCTTACTTCGAGTTCCAGCTCTGCCGGCTGTGTGACTTTGACTATGTGTCTTAGCCTGTCTGTGCCTCAGTGTTTGCTTTTGTAGAAAGGAATATAACAGTACCTACCTGGGGGAGGGGCATCCTTGTGGGAAAGAGAGCAGTCGAGAGGATTTTAATTCAGAGCCCAGTGCCTGGCATACTCTACCTATTTCTTATTTTGCTGTGGTTTCATTGCTTGCTTATGTATTTGCTTTAATGGAGCGTTGTGAAATATAATATATATTTGAGAGTCATGAGAAGTCAGTGTAGATTTAACGAGTATTTTTTTAAAACCCAGGTGAAGAAACAGAGAATGTCTAACTGTTCGACCCCTATTACCCCCCCCCCCCCTTTTACTCTGCAGACAGCCATCATCCTGGCATGAGGTTGTCCTTGCCTCTCTTTCTGGTTTCTCTTTCATCAATGACAGTTACCTCTTCCAAAGCCTGGACCCTCCACTGCCCGAGATAAGAAAGGCTGAGGTCTGTAAGAGGCATATCCAGAGGAGGAAGCTGGGAGTTGGGGAGGAGTGGATCACAAAGTTGCTTGGGGTTAGCGAGGGTCCCAAGCAAGAGCCTTGCTCTTCTTTCCGCAGCTGCTGGTGGGTAAAGGCGGGTGCTCCCAGTAGCACGACCCCTGCTGTCCCTTCACCTAAGTCTGTGTGTGTTGGAGGCACAGATAGCGGGTACGACCCTTTCCTGCTAGAAAGGCCCGAGATCTGGCCTTTGGTAGACACCAGCCTTACTCAGCTGCTCCAGGAGAGGCTGGTTACTCCCTGGGGTCAGATAGAGCAGCAGCCAGAGGTGACGAATGAGCAAAACTTTGCAGAAAGAGTTCAGGAGGAAGGATTTGGTGCTGGGGTGAGCATCCAACTTGTTGGCCAGGAACTGAAGATGAGAGAGCCTCCTACTGGGAGAGTCTCTCTCCCAATCTGAATGAATTATTTCACAGGGACCAACCAACAAAAGGGCACAGCTGGTCACTCTTCTGGGAATAGCTTCTTCTCACCATTCCTTTGGCTGACCACTGGCCAAGCCATCAGACCTCGGTGTGGGGAGAATTCAGCTGTTCCAGGAGCTGTCCCTGACTCTTCTTCCCTCTCCTCCAGGGCCTAAACTGACTTCTGCCAAACTCATCGTTTCATCTCAGCATTGTCCAGACTCTAGGGACCACAAGGCAGCTTTCACAGCCATTTGTAATGGTGGGAACTCCTCAAGATCAAAGACATAATCATTTCATATCTGTTATTTGTCATTATATATTTTCTATTCACAAAGAGTCTATTTAAAGAACATAAATAATTTCCTTTTGCTCACTGCTTTAGTAATGATTCTTTAAGAAATTTAACCTATGAATGTACGTATATGAGCATTTTGTCTGCATGTATGCCTGTATACCATGTGCATGCCTGGTGCCCATAGAGGCCATAAGAGGATGTTGGATCCCCTAGCACTGGAGTTACAGGGGATAATGAGCTGCTGTGCAGGTGTGGGGAATACATCCTGTGTTCCCTGAAAGAGCAGCCAGTGCTCTAAACTGCTAAGCAAGTGTTTCTAGCCCTAGAAATGAGTCTTTACTCTGGATACAGCTTGGGGGAGCATGTTTACTTAACATGAACAAAACCTCACACCAACAGTAATAATTCACTGATTAATCCATCAACACAATTGTTTGGCTGCTTTGTAAAGGCCACATTCCGCTATAGACATTGTCCATCAGAGAAGGAAAAAGCACACATCCCATGCTCTCTGGAACTGGCATCTCAGTTGGGGGAAGACAGAAAATAAACACATGAATAAATAAATTATAGCTTGGGAGACAAATATGGCAGGACCAACCTATAATGCCAGTACTCAGGAGGCAGAGGCAGGGGGATCTGGATTTCAAAGTCATTCTTCTGTTGTAAAAGGCTGCTTGTTGGTTTCCCGGCTGCCCACACTCCTGAAATAATCACACAGAAACTATATTTTTTAAATCACTGCTTGGCCAATTACTTAAGCATATTGCTAGCCAGCTCTTACATCTAGAATTAACCCATCTTCGTTATTTTATATTTTACTATGAGGTTTGTGGCCTACCGGCAAGGTTTCAGCATGTCTGTCTCTGGTAGTGGCTCCATGGCTTCTCTCCTGACTCCACCTTCTTTCTCCCAGCATTCAGTTTTGTTTTTCCTGCCTAGCTAAGTTCTGTCCTATCAGGCCAAGTCAGTTTCTTTATTAACCAATGGTATTCACAGCATACAGAGGGGAATCTCACATCACCTCCCTTTTCTGGTTAAACAAAAAAAAAAAGGGGGGGGGAGGTTTTAACTTTAACAAAGTAAACTTACATATAACAAAACAGGTATCAAGCAAGAATTATAGTCACAATACTTATATCTATTTTATCTTTAACTAAGAAAAAGTATAATTAAACTATCTAGTCTTCAACTCTGTCAAAGACTCCAGAAGGATATAATATTACCTAAGTAAACAGAAAGTGCATTGTAAGGAATTTCCAAAACTCTAGAACTGACAGAGACATTGCCCTGCTTGGACAGTCACCCAAAGTTCTTTGTACCATCGGAGCATCCAATCTTCAGCCCACAGGCCCATAGTATCCGGCAGACTTTTTCATGAAGCAGGAAATTTCAAAGATAGTTATGCCTATATTGGCAGTTTGTCAGTCACAATTTTCTAAGTCCTGCAGAATGTCTGGCAGACTCTTTCATGAAGCAGGAACCCTGAAGGGCCATCTCACCTTTAGACAAGTTCAGCAGTTATTTCTCTGTAGGTCCTGCATGTCTAGTTCATACAGCATGTATTCTTTATTGTAAATATGACTTGCTGTAGAATAATCCATTTGTACACTATGAAGATTTGTTACTCAGATTGATTTAATAAAAAGCTGATTGGCCAGTAGCCAGCAGGAAGTATAGGTGGGACAGCCAAACTAAGGATGCTGGGATGAAGAAGGACAGAGTCAGAGGAGTCGCCAGTAGATGCAGAGAGAAGCAAGATGGGCATGCCATACCGAGAAAAGGTACTAAGCCACATGGCAAAGCATAGATAAGAATAAGAAATATGGCCGGGCGGTGGTGGTGCACGCCTTTAATCCCAGCACTCGGGAAGCAGAGGCAGGTGGATCTCTGGGAGTTCGAGGCCGGCCTAGTCTAGAAGAGCTAGTTCCAGGACAGCAACCAAAAGCTACGGAGAAACCCTGTCTCGAAAAAAAAAAAAAAAAAAAAAAAAAAAAAAAAAGAATAAGAAATATGGGTTAATTTAAATGTAAGAGTTAGCTAATAACAAACCTGAACTATCAGCCAAGTGTTTACAGTTAATATCAAGACTCTGAGTGGTTATTTGGGAGTGGGCAGTCAGGACATGAAAACTCTGCTTGCAATTTTATTGATTTTGCCGGACATTTGTTTCCATTGTCCACCTATGATTTCAATTCAACTACATATTGGCCAATGAAGTCAAGTCCCAGTGAAGACAGTCGATGATGAAATGAAGCCCTGCTTTGGAGCATTTGCCAACTTCTTTAGTGTAACACTTGGGGCTGCTTTCAAGCTTTCTGTGTGATATCACGGAGCTGGGAAGAGAGCACAGAGGCATAGCAGGCACGCACAACAGATGCAAGTAGTTCAAGAACACAGATAAGCTGGGTGTGATGACCTATATCCATAATCCCCGCACCCAAGAAGGAGGCAGAGACAGGAAGGTGGCCACAGGTTCAAAACCAGCCCTTTCTACATAGTGAGTTCCAGGCCAGCCAGGGCCACATAATGAGATCCTGACTCTAAATAGACAAACAAGAATAGAAATAATAATAAAACATAGGAAAATAATTAGAAAGTGATGGGTTTGAGTTTTTATCTTGATTTTAAGTGTTAGATTCTATAACATGGTAGCTAAGGAAGGACTCGTGGCTGGGAATCCCTGTTGACACCCAGCTTCACAGGCTAAGAGCTTAGCTATGGCACAAAACCAAGTGAGTGAGTCACCAACACCTCATGTGAACTCCACTAACTCCCAGTCCCCAGGATTTTCAGTCAACAAAATAGTCGCTTTATTATTACATTTGTTTATTTGTGTGTGTGTGAACATTATAGGAGTTAGTTCTTGCCTTCCACAGTGTGGGCCCCAAGGACTAAACCCAGGTTGTTTGGCTTGGCAGCAAGTGCTGTTACATGCTCTCTTAGTTAGGGTTTCAATTGCTGTGAAGAGACACCATGAGCACGGTAGCTCTTATAAAGGAAAACATTTAATTGGTTGGTTTACAGTTCAGAGGTGTCCATTGTCACCATTGTGGGACATGACAGTATGCAGGCAGACATGGTGTTGGAGAGGTAGCTGAGAGCTCTACATCTTGTGCAGGCAACAGGAAGTGGTCTGAAACACTGGGCGTGGCTTGAGCATATATGAAACCTCAAATCCTGCCATCCCCACCACTCCATCAAAGCTATACCTACTCCAGCAAGATCATACCTACTCTAACAAAGCCACACCTCCTAATAGTGCCACTCTCTTTGAGCTTATGGAGTCAATTACATTCAAACTACCACACATGCTGAGCCACCTCTCCAGAATCACTATGGTGGTTTGAATGAACATGGCCTCCAAAAGGTGCATATATTTGAATGCTTGGCCCCCAGCTGATATAATTATTTGGTCAAGATTAGAAAGTGTGGCTTCGGTGGAGGAGGTATGATGTTTCAAAAGCCCACCCATTTCCAGTTACCTCTCTCTTGCTAGCTCTCTCCCTCCTTCTCCCCCAGAGGTTGTGTCTCAAGATGTGGGCTCTCAGGTACTACTCCAGTACCATGCCTGTTGCCATGTTCCTAGCCGTGATGGTCATGGACCCACCCACTGAAACTGTAAAGCCCCTGCGATATTTGTGTAGTAATGACCCCCATACGCTCATACATTTGAATGCTTAGTCACAAAAGAATGTAACCTGTGATAGAATTGGAAGGATTAGGAGGTGTGGCCTTGTGGAAGGAAGTGTGTCACTAAGAGTAGGTTTTGAGGTTTCGAAAGCCCACGCCAGGCCCAGTGACTCTCTCTCTTTTTGCCTGTGGATCAGGATGTAGCTCTCCACTACTTCTCCAGCTTAGTGCCTACCATGCCTGCTGCCAAGCCGGGCACCGTGATGACAGTGGACTAAACTTCTGAACCCGAAAGCAAGCCCACAATGAAATGTTTTCTTTTATGAGTTGCCTTGATCATGCTGTCTCTTCGCAGCAATAGAAAAATGACTACCATAGCCCCAGATAAACTCTTTCATCTATAAGCTGCCTTGGTCATGGTATTCTACCACAGCAATAGAAAAGTAACAAAGACATCCACATTTTAAATAAAAATACATTTATCAATTTAAATTTTAAGTTTAGTTCATTTGAGAGGCTGAGGCAAGAGGATTTTCGAAACGACAGAGTAAAACCCTGCCTCAAAAAAAACAAAGTAAGGCTGGGCATGGTGGCACATGCATTTAATCCCAGCACTCGGGAGTCAAAGTCTGACGGTCTCTGAGTTGGAAGCCACCCTGGTCGGCAGTGAGTTCCAGGACAGCCAAGGCTACACAGAGAATCCTTGTCTCTACAAAACAAAACAAAAGTAAATAAAATTTAGTAATTATTTTGTGGAATTACTTTCCGGTAAAATTTATCAAAATAAAATCCCCAAACCCTGTATCTGAACCGCCATAAGGAACTCCTAAGTCCACAAACTAGCTCTTAAGAAGAGTGACCCTCTTATTGTTGTTTGCAGATCAGAAAAGCAAGTATCCCACGGAGGTGTCTCTGCGAGGAACCAAATGATGCCTGACCCCTGATCTAATTCCTACTGAGCTACAATTATTCTTCCTCAGCCTCCAGGAAAACCTGCACAAACAGGAGCAGAAAGTTGCGCAAGGCAAACGAAACCTGCAGTGTTGGCAGCATGTCGCCTGGAGGCGCTCAGGTTAGAGAAGGAAGAGCGGCCAAGGTAGTTTCAGACCTGCGCTCCGCAAAGTCCACTCACGGCCACTAGAGGGAGTAAGCGCTCCCCTGGGGGGGCGGAGCTTGCGGGAAGCACGCATGCGCCCGGAGGCTGTCGGTGGCACCAGCCCGGGAGAAGGGCAAGACGGTGGCCGAGAGAGTTCCGGGAGGCGGACGGTGGCCGAGAAGGTCCGGCATGGAGCACCTGGAGCGCTGCGCGTGGTTTCTCCGCGGGACGCTGGTGAGGGCGGCGGTGCGGCGCTACCTGCCCTGGGCGCTGGTGGCCGCCATGCTGGCGGGCTCGACCCTCAAGGAGCTGTCCCCGCTGCCCGAGTGCTACCTCAGCAACAAGCGCAACGTCCTCAACGTGTGAGTGCACCAGGTTCCGGGCGCTGCCTGGGTGGGCGAGCCATCGGGAGGGATACCTGCCTTGACAGCCGCGTCCGCGCGCTGGCGGCGACGCGGGGACCCTGGGAAAGCGAGTGACACTCGCGCCTTACGTTTAAGGATTCCGATAGGAGGACCGAGTTGACGGGCGGGCCGGTGACAGGCTGGGTTGGAGATGGCAGTGTGTCTGAGGTGCTCTGAAGCTGCTGCTCACCGTCCCCTCCCTCCCAGTTAGGCTCTGGCCCCTGTCCTGTTTGGGGAGATGTCACCTCCCTTCTAACGGCTTGTCAGGCACCCCTCTCCTAACCCCTGTAACAGAAATCCCCACCGTTGTCTTAAAGACCACCTCTAGACCCACCCGCCACCCTACAAAGTTTTTCCCTCCCGGCCGTGTATTGGTAGAAGAGTGAAGCCTCCCGCGCCGGTGACCTTTCTCCTGGATCTCCTTGGACTTTTCGCAGTCGTTTAAAGTGCATGGCAGTTGCCCAGGAAAGCAACCCCGGCGGACTTCTTTGGGACATCTCTCTAACTCCTCCCACTTCTTTCCTAGTCTTTTAAAAACACCCTTATCGAACGTTTCTTGCACAAAACCCCGTTGCAGCAAGTACAGGGAGTCTGGAAGCTGAAATTGCGCCTTCTCTGTGAACTTAAGACCAGAGTTTCCAGCAAGCTGAGAGTCTGCCTAACTCTTGTTATCTGCTTAAAACTGTTTTCTTTTTTTGGCAGCTGGGTCGGGTTTCTGGCAGCCCTTAGCTTTGGCAAGGCTTTCCTTATCAATGCTGGTGACGGTTTTAGTGTCCTTCTCCTTGGTGGTATCTGAGAAACCACTGGAACCTAGGGACGAGGCATTCTGTCCTTGGCCCCCCTTCATCCTTACCCACTGAGTGGCCGGGCTAAGAATAGAGAGTGATGGTGATCGCTGCCTGAGATCGCTTCATAGGTTTTCTGCAGCTCACTCCCAGGTCGGCCACCTTTCATGAGCACCCGGCAGGCAGACCTGGCAGCTCTTGTCTTATCTGGCCTGATGAACCAGGAGCCCAGCAGGCTGGCACGCTAGTCTGTTGCTTAGGGGTAGCCATGGAGTCTAATGTTTTGTTTCAAGACGTGGTGCTGATTGATGGGAGGGAACTGACAGACTCACTGAATCTGAACCTGGGAGAGGTTTTGAGAACTGCTTGGCGCTCTCCGCTTCACCAGCTGAGGCCTGAAGATACACAAATAGAGTCAGAGTCAGGATTGGAACCCTGGTCCTGTGGCTTGAAGGAAAACACACACACTCTCTCTCTCTAAGACTTGCTAGCCTTACTTATTACCACTAGTGTGGTAGAAAAGGGCTTTGGGGCTGGGCAAAGGGTAGCTTAGTCTGTGTTTGCTGACATGTGGCGCTGGCAAAGTATTCGGTTTTATGAGCCCCCAGAATCTGTAAAATGGGACAAATGAGGGCCAGGGGTACACCTTGGTGGAGAGAGTGCTGCCCTAGCATGTACCCCAGGTTTGATCCCCAGCACCATGTAAAACTGGGTATGGTTGCATATACCTGCAATGGTGCTACTAGGGTGGTGGAAGCAGGAGGATCCATCCATGTTCAAGACCATCCTCAGCTATATAGGCAGTGTGATGCCAGCCTGGGCTATACTTAAAGACAAATGACCCCTTTCTCCTCAGCTGATTGTGAATTTTTCTGTGGAAGTGAATTGTGTAAACATATCTGACTTTTGATAGAAGCTCAGGTCTTGCTTTCCTGAGCAAGTAGCACAACTGGAAAATTGCAGGCCCTGGATTTGAACCCCAGTCCACTACTTACGAACTCCTCTCTGTTATGACACATCTGTGTGGCTCAGTTATGGATGAACTAATTTCACTACTTAGGAAATAAAGCTTGGGTGAGCATGTTGTAGGAATTCAAACACAGTAGCTATTTGGGTGGACAACTTTGATTGGTTTCATGTAACTTCCTTTGGGAGCTTAGATACCCAAAGCATGATGACACCATTTCCTGTCTGCCATGTCTCCTCTTCACCTGCTCTTTCCTCTTCTGTCAGGTATTTTGTTAAAGTGGCCTGGGCCTGGACAGTCTGTCTCCTCCTGCCTTTCATTGCCCTCACCAACTACCACCTGACGGGCAAGGCCGGCCTGGTCCTGCGGCGGTTGAGCACGCTGCTCGTGGGCACGGCCATCTGGTATGTCTGCACAGCCCTCTTCTCTAACATTGAACACTACACAGGCAGCTGCTACCAGTCCCCAGCCCTGGAGGGCATCAGACAGGAGCATCGGAGCAAGCAGCAGTGCCACCGGGAAGGGGGCTTCTGGCATGGCTTTGACATCTCAGGCCACTCCTTCCTACTGACCTTCTGTGCACTCATGATCGTGGAGGAGATGGCCGTTTTGGACGAGGTGAAGACGGATCGCAGCCACCGCCTCCACACTGCCATCACCACCCTGGTTGTCGCCCTAGGCTTTCTGACCTTCATCTGGGTATGGATGTTTTTGTGCACAGCTGTTTATTTCCACGACCTGATCCAGAAGGTGTTTGGCACCTTTTTTGGTTTGCTGGGCTGGTACGGGACATATGGGTACTGGTACCTGAAGTCCTTCTCTCCCGGGCTTCCTCCCCAGAGCTCTAGTTTGACTTTGAAGCGAGAAACTTACAAGAAGTAAAAGAGAAACAAGTGAGGACAGGAGGACAATAGCTGATAGATTTTCCACCTACTTTGTCCGGTGACTGGCTGAACTATTGGTCCCACTTCAGAGACCATGCTTACTAGGCACTTTTGTGGTAGGGTGGAGTCTGGGAAACGTTCGGGCCTCAGACTCTGCTGGTGATGCCATCCGTGCTGGCCGCACCACCATTCCTGCCCGATACTTCTCTTCTCTGGCAAGACATGACCTTGATCTGTTCCCTGAGGGAGAGCTAAGGCTCAGCAGAGGGACGGCAGACAGACAGCCTCATGATGTGGGTCAAGGGGAACCAGAGCTGCAGGACTCCCTCTGCTGTGGTCTCCCTGGCTCTGATCCTTTTAACAGTGTTTCCCCACGGCCGATCCTAAGATGAGCATTTATCTCTGGCAGGTTCTTTATTAAACACCCCGATGCCTAAAGCACACTCTCCGGCTATCGTAATCCACCTCCTCTTTGGAGTACTGACATTTGTACCTGGCTTTGACCAGTACCCAGCGGGGGCCACAGCCCTGCAGTGCCTGGATGATATTTATGTATGAACAGTGGTAAGATCTTTCTGTCTGCGCTATTGTTAGGTGTTGGTTTTTAGAGCAGAAACCGAGAACCGCATTTCCCCCTCTTCCCCCCTGCATGAGGGCTTATGGTTTAATCATCACCGTGGCATTTGTTCTTTGATGACAAAGCTTCAGTACTGCACTTTGGTGTGTGAAAATTGTTTTGAGGGTTTTTTTTATTGTTGTTTTGTTTTTTAGAACACTAATTTAACTTTTTATAAACAAAACTCTCGGCATATTGTATTAAATCCCACCTCATAGGGTTGTTCCCTCTGTTAAGAATAAAACTGGAACCAGGGGGCATGGTGCTGCACTAGGGAGGCAGAGGCAGGCGGATCTCTGTGAGTTTAAGGCCAGCCGGGTTGGTCTATATAGTGAGTTCTAGACCAGCCAGGGCTGTAGAGTTCGAGATCCTGTCTCAAAAATAAAATAAAATAAAATAAAAAACAAACAACAAGAGTCAAACTGGAAAGCAGGCATTTCATTATTTAATGGATTTTGAGCCGAGAGAGTAATTCTGTGAAGTCCTTGTTGGTACTGAGCCTTCCTGCCCACCTACTGTTGGTCGAGATGGAATAAGGTCATAGGGTCATAGGGTCATAGGACAAGTACCACAGGCAAGGAAGTTTTACCTTTGGAGAAGATTATGATAATTCAGAAGTGAAATAAAAGGTCTCCCTCTGATGCAAGAAACGAGCCACCCATATTACATACCGCCACCATGCAAAGTTATCCATGTTACATAGCGGCATGACTTTGGCCCCGCCTCCTTTTCCTTGTCCCATCAACAGAACCACCCGAAAAGGAGAACATTCAATAGGAGTGACATTTTCTCTGCAGCACTTCCTGGTTTTCAGCCATGTCATTATATGGCCTTCTCTGAAACTGCTAGGGTTAGAAGTCTCATCATGCATGTCCCACACGGCAAGCTTCCAGTCTCCGATAAGAGGATCCCTGTCCTCTCCCAGGTGATCTCTTAAGACCGTCACACTGAGTCCTGGCCTTTTGGATGATCACCCTTGTAGCTGCTTTGACGCCTCATACCCAGCAGAGCTGGGTAACGGCACTGCCTGATAAGCTTTGGCCTGCCTGTCCTGACTCGAGCTCAGGCTGTTAGGTGCTTAGTTAAGTTAAGAGTAATTTCTTTCTTACTTTTAATTTAATTTTTTAAAATTTAATTTTGTTTTGTTTTGTTTTGTTTGTTTTTTTGAGTCAGGGTCTCATTATGCAGCCCCAACTTTCCTGAAACTCACTACGTGGACCAGGCTGTTCTTCGACTCACAGAGATCTGCCTGCCTCTGCCTCCTTAGTGCTGAGATTAAAAATACACTGATATTAAAGCCACCATACCTGGCTACTAAGTAATTTTTTTTAATATAAGGATATATTTGTAATATGTATTTCATAACCTGTTGAGCTACAGATCAATTTGACCAATGATGATTTATGATGTAAGATGGTGTTACCGAAGGGGAAGGAAGGCAGGCAGTGAGGTGTCAGCGAGGGGCTGTGGTGAGTTGGTAAGGACTGAAAACGTGTTTCACCTTCTGGGAGTTTCCACCCATCCCCCAGGTGAGAATGGGCCTGGGGAAGATGGTAGAGCTGGTCCGGGCAAAGTCCCTCAGGCGTCATGTGACCACAGAAGGGAACAGCCATAGTGCACCCAGAAGTTCATTGTCACGTCAAGGCCCCAGACAGTTTTCTCACAGCGTCTGACCAGGTTTAACCTTAACCTGACTATATGTGGGAACTCTTAGGTGCACCGCGTTCTCTACATATTAATGGATTATATTACATGTACATATTCGTGGTACTCCTCTCTCTCCTCTTTCAATGCCAGGGCTGGGAACCCAGGGTTTCGTGCATGCTGGGCAAGCCCTCTACCCCTGAGCTACACCCCGAGTTCCTTGGAACCCTTGCCTTCCCTCCTGTGCAAGGAAGCTGGCATGGGTGAGTGTTTGGACTGGGGCAGCCGTGAGATGTAGGTTTGAGTCTCGGCATCACTCCCAACCCACCTGACCAACTTGCGAGCCCTGTTACCCTTGCCCGTAAAGTGGAGGCGATTCTTTCAGCACAAAAGGAGGTGACCTGTAAGATGCTGAGGATGAGGGCTAATCAGGCTGTTACCTCCAAGCCTTTTTCTTGACAGTGTTGAGAATGGTCTGGCTCCTCTAGAGAAAGCAGAGAAGCTAACATCTTTTAGGGAACACTCAGAGCTTGGGTGTCCTATTGAAAATCTCGTATCATCTTTCAAAGTGTCTGTTGTCCCAAAGTGTTGAACATGAGACTTTGGGGCATCTGACCAGAGTCATGCCATGCTGTGTTTGCTTCCCCGGGTGGAGGTTTGCTCACTTGCTTCCATTTGCATCTGTCATTGTCTGGGTACCAGATTGTGTTTAGGAATGGCTCATGCCACTGTTATGTACACACAGAGCCCATGTGTAAACAAGCAAATTAAAGTACACCAGAGATGATGGAATCCCACACTATTGAGTTTGGTGTGTTCCTTTCTGTATTTGTTTTTAATTGACTTTTTTGACTTTAACATTTTATTTATTTATTTATATTTTTTATTTTTTGGTTTTCGAGACAACTTGGCTGTCCTGGAACTTGCTCTGTAGATCAGGCTGGCCTCAAACTCTCAGAGATTCACCTGCCTCTGCCTCCCAAGTGCTGGGATTAAAGATGTACACCACCACCGCCTTAATTTAACTTTTAAATTAAATTTGTATGTGTTGTATGCATGTATGTGTGCACTCGCTATGGCAAACGTGAAGATCAGAGGACAACTTGCATGAGTTAATTCTTTCCTACCATGTATGACTTGCAGATCAAACTCAGGTAGTCAGGCTGGGCAGCAGGTGCCTTTCCCCAGGAGTCACCTTGTTGATTCTATTTTTTAGGACTTTATTTATTATTATTGTGTGTATGATGCATGCGTTTGTGCACATGAGCCATAATCTACACGTGGAGGTCAGGGGACAACTTTGTGGCGTTGGTTCTCTCCTCCCACGTGGACTTTGGGTGTCAGACCTAGTCCTTTAGATGTGGCAGCAGGGGGGCTGGAGAGATGGCTCAGTGGTTAAGAGCACTGCCTGCTCTTCCAGAGGTCCTGAGTTCAATTCCCAGCAACCACGTGGTGGCTCACAACCATCTGTAATGGGGTCTGGTGCCCTCTTCTGGCCTGCAGACATACACGCAGACAGAATATTGTATACATAATAAATAAATAAATAAATAAATAAATGTTTTTAAAAAAAAGAGAGAAGGAATAGATGTGGCAGCAGGTGCTTTTACCCATGAGCCACTTCACTGGCTCAGACTCAGGCCACCTTCTGATCCTTTCTTGAATTATGCTCACAGGAGTCATTTCACGGCTGGAGTGTCTTTATCTAAGAGACACTTAGGTCAAAAGACCTAAGACATTTGTCCTAAGTACTGATATCCTTCCGCCTGCCTTACTCTCTTCTCTGTCATTGGGTCCTGAGGTCTGGGTCAGCCAGGCCTGAGAGCTGGCCCCTTGGCAGAAGTAGAGAGATAGGCCTCCCCGACAGAGTGCTATAGAGCAGTGACAGCGTACTGGGGCAAGGTCACTTTGCAACCCTGGGACCCTCCACATACAAAATAGCATTTTGTGCCTTTCTGCCCACTCGCTGGCAGCCTGGCCTACTTGGCACCTCTGCGTGGTGTGTGCTGAAAGCCTTCGGATCCGAGATTAGAATCTTCTCACGCTGTTTGGTCCTGCAGCAGCCAACTCAGGAGTTTTGAGTCAGAGCCATCCCCCTCCTAGCTAAAGTGGTGTGCTGGGGTTACTAAGCCAAGTGTGGTACAGGGCTGCATTTCAGGACAGAGAGCCCCTGCCACCATCAAGTGTCCTGAGTGTAGGTGCAAGGTCAGGACCTGGGAATGTTGAACAGAGAACCTGCTGCCCTGGGGATTCAGAAGCACGTTCATAGAAGGTGTCATTCCTTTTGGTCTGAAAGGATAAGGAATTCAAACTCTCCTGCAGGAAAGGAAAACCAAGACAGGAACGGCCCAAGCAAGGTCATGTAGATAATTCCATGACTTCTGCCCATCCAGAGAACCTAACTTTCTTCATCTTCAGAAGTCCTGGAGACTGAAGACAGACTTGGGCAGCTGGTGGAACCTGTAGGTGTGCCTTGCTCTGGGCTCTGTTAGAGTGCCTGACTTGGGCAGGTTCCACCACTGCTTTTTCTGCTGTGATCTTGAACTAGTAACAGCATCTCTGGGCCTCGTTCCCTCATCCAGTGAGCAATAGGTAGACTGGAGTCCCTCGGCAACCCTGGGATCCGCCCCACTCTCCATTTCTGTTTTGCTTGGTAAAAAGTCCCTCCCGAACTCATTAGGACTTATTTTAGGAAACCATGTGAGAAGAAACGCCCACTTGGCTTGAGTGGCAGCTGGCTTGCCAGTGAGTGACAGGCAGCAAACTTTGGGCTGCAGCTGCTCACTGCCCACTGCCTTTGTCTCTGTTTGGACCTCCAGATGAATTCTGACAGGAGCACCTGGGCCCCAATGGGCTCTCTTCCCAGCTTCGGCACCTCTGGGGAGTGACCGGGGAGTTTTACTGTTGAGCAGCACCTCCTGTACAAACGATGACTGGGTAGTAGTCACGCTTAGTGCTCGCAGGCCTAACCGTCTCCAGGTAGGGGCTGTGCCGTGAAATGCTTGCAGGGAGACTCCCTGACAGCTGCCTACAAAAATGTCAAGGAAGGACCCAGATGCCAGTTAGTCACATAGTGATTGTAGTTCCTTACTAATAACTGAACACAGCCGTGGTGAGGAATGCATGACGCAGGTTGTGTCAGCTGTGAAGGCAGAAGATCTGGGCTGTGTGCCCTCGGTCAGGTCTGCCTCTGAGCCTGTTTCTAGGGTTCACTCAAGAGGCACAGACTAGAAGGAGAAGAGCCCCGGTGTACTGAGATCCCCCAGTCTCAGGGGACACAGCATTAAGACAGGGGCCTGGACTGCACTTCTGTTGAGTGTTACCGACTGGGCAGACAAGGGAATGAGTGACCCCAATAGTGCATGGACCATCCGGAGCAGAGTGTTCCTCAGTGTGACACAAATAACCAAGGAGAGGCCGGGCGGTGGTGGCGCACGCCTTTAATCCCAGCACTCGGGAGGCAGAGGCAGGCGGATCTCTGGGAGTTCGAGGCCAGCCTGGTCTACAAGAGCTAGTTCCGGGACAGGCACCAAAGCTACAGAGAAACCCTGTCTCGAAAAAAAATAAAAATAACCAAGGAGAACAATGTATGGGTGGGGGAGATGTGTTTTTGCTTTTTGAGACAGGCTTTGTATGCATGGCTGTCCTGGGACTTATGCAGATCTGTCTGCCTCCGTCTCTCGAGTGCTAGGGTTAAAGATGTGTGCCACCAAATCTTATCATCATGGCTCATGGTTTGAGAGGTTTCAGTTCATGGCTGGGCTGACTCTATTTCTTTAGGCTAGAGGGGAGGCAGAGCATCCTAGGCGGGAGCATGAAGGAGAGGGAACAGCTTACCTCTGGCAGCCATGGTAACCCAACAGCGGACAATGCTCGGACACGTGTTTGTAATCCCAGCACTTGATAAGTGGGGTCAGAAAGAGGAGTTCAAGGTCGTCCTTAGATACATAGCAAGTTTGAGGTCAACCTGAGCCACACAAAACCCTGTTTCAAAACAAAAACAGCAAAGGCACAGCTGGAGAGTCCTCTAGGCCTCACCTTCCACAGTTCCACCACCTCCTGATGACCTGTTTAGATTTGGAGCCCGTCCACGGATTAAACCATTGATAGGTCAAAGGGCTCACAGTCTACCTGTCTCTGTGCTTTCCTAATCTCACAGGCATCTCCTGATCACTCAGGGTGATAGTCAGGGCTGACCATCCCACTGCCCTGATGTCACCACTTAGTCAGATACACCCTGCCTAGAGCATCTACACACAATGGAGTGAGGAATTTAGCCCAGAGTACCTGAGTTCACATCTTAGCTCCACCCGGCATGCTGGCTCTGTGATGGTGAGCAAGTTCCTCGACCTCTCTGTGCCCTAGTTTTCATAGGGCTTTGGTGATGAATTAACACTGGAGAAGTCACAGCACTTGTGGGTCACTATATGAATGGCTTCTGGATGCATGTTGGGTCCTAAGGTGTGCTGTTGTTGACACCTCTCCTTTGGGATGGTCTCAGTTCTGACGGACTTCCAGGTAGGTTAGCTGTGCAGTGTAGGTAGGTTAGCTGTGCAGTGTAGGTAGATTAGCTGTGCAGTGTAGATGCGGAGAGTCATGTCCCCAGGGTCTAGCTCTAGTCTGCTTTTTGGGTAACTGAAAGCAGGGGAGCTGATTTCTGGGACAGCTAACAGAAAAGGACATTGATCTGTGGTGTCCATGTTGCCGACGGGGTGAAGTAGGGCCATGCTGTTGACAGTGCTGAGGGCTGCTAGATGCTGGCTCCAGCTCGTCTGGGGCTCGGGGTACAGCTCCTCTCCAAGTGCTGCCCCTTGCTGCCCTCTGTCAGGTGTGGTCGCCCAGCGTACATACTCATGAGTGTCTGAGTGCCCAGGAGGGAAGAGGACAGGCCATCAGGGAACTGCCTGGATTAGACCTCTATGTCCAGGGGAAATTTTCCTGTCCTGCCCCGAGAGGTTGCAGTAGCTCAAATCTCCCTTCATGCCTTTTGTGCTTCCCTGACTTTTGCCTTAACTCTCAGGGCATACCTCAACTGCTGGGCACTCCGTGCATTGTCAGGTGCCTCTGCAAACCCCTCAGATGCCCCTGTGCCCCCTCAGGAACCCCTGTGCCCCCCTCAGGTACCCCTGTGCTTGATCTGTTCGGGTTCCAGACTGGAAGGACAGCACCTGCCTGGGTGCATGCTCACTTCAAAATGGTCACTACGGTACCTACACCTGAGCCCAACCACACAGCGCACGCGAAGACCTTGCTCATGTCACACTGGTCCACCAACATGCCTGTCATTGGTGGGGCGTGGGTAAAGCCCACCTTCCGTGGGAGGGAGCTGCAGTTTCGTAGCAAAGGCTGCTTGTGCACTTCAAATTCAGTCTACTGCTTGCAATGCGGGTACTTGGGCTTTGAACCTCAGCTTCTCCATCCATGAGACAAAATTGTATGATTTTGTATAAAAGTGCTTGTGTGAAATTCTAGCATACAGATAATTCTCAGCGGATAGAGTGATAGAGTTCTCACTTGGATAGCAGCTTTGCCTGTCAGCACCCCAGATTTTCTTCATAATATTCCCAAAGACAGAAGGAGATAAGAGAGAGGACTCTTGGCCCCAACTCTCTCATAATGGGATCAGGATCCAATGAGCACTAATGTCCCAGGGCCTTGGCTTCTCATCTCTTCCTCAGACTGCAGTCAAAGCCTTCCAGCCTAGGCGTTGGCTCTCCCGTTCTCAACGGTTCTTCCCATCAGAGGCAGCTCCCTGTCTCCCCAAACCCGTTCCTGCAACCAGTGACCCAACCAGAGACA